ATTTTTTCCTCTTCCTTTTCTTTTCTTTTCTTTTTTTTTTTTTTTTGGTTTTTGCATTTTTACATTTTTGTGTGCATTTTTGCTTGGCTCCTATTGCTTCTTAATTGAGTTGGTTGATGTTGGCGCTGGATCAGCCTTAGTACCTCCTGACGCCAAGGCAGGCATTCAACTAACAAAGTACTAAGAATTCAGGTAACAAAAAGTATGTGGTGCCTGGCAATGTGCCTTTTCATACTCCCGAAGTTGTATTGGTTGGTTTCGTCTGGTGCATGTTCCGGTATCTGCATCGCGTCGTGTAATGCTACTCACTGCTAATCATCAGCCATAAGCGCTTGCTTGAGGCGACGAGCTTGAGGATCCGCGCGTCAAATACCTATGGATATTGAAGCTATGAGCTGTTCTTTTGACAATTGCTGACCCAATTGAGAACTGGTCTGGCTGATGTCTGTGGTTCATATCGAGCCTGGTGTTCTGGGATGCAGACTCCTGATTACAACGGTTGCCTCCTCGTCCAGTGGACCCTTCCATCTCTGTTCAGCCTCCGCCGACCAAATGTAGACTTTCAAAGGATGAATAGTTATGTTTTTGTCAATAGAAGAACCTCGCTCAAACAAGGAAAATCATTCTATTATGTGTAGAATACGTGTTATTGGGAAGCACATCATATGCGCGTGGGCCTCTGCGCCTCAGCCAATCCCACGAACGCGACTGAATTCCTGCATCTGCATTCGGCAACCAACACAACAACTTCACAAACATTTGAGCAATCATATGGCTCATTCTTGCGTCGCTCGCCGCATTCTAACTCCTGTTTCTGCCTATCTCGAGGGAGATTGGCGAACTTGGCATGGATTTCCGAAAAGACTTGTTGGGTGATGACAATCATTTCCAACTGCCACTTATTCTCGTGAGTCGCGAGGCACGCAGTGTTGCTCTGTCTTGGCTCGGTGAGCAGATAGGCTTCGTTTATTTAACCAAGACCTTTTACATTACGCAATCTCCAATTACATGGTGTCAAAAGCTGGAAGTCGCATGATCAGCGATACTCAGTGGTACGGCCGCTAAATTGATGCATCATACACTGCGGACGACAAAGGGGAAGATTTCTGTCATGAGCCCTCTGACCGAATGGGTGAGCCTGATATCCAGGGTCAAGACGTCGATGTAAGTGCTGATGTTGTAAATATTGACGTTTCGGAGACGCTTTTGATACAGAGAAAAGATATCGAGTGGCCGCCCCATGTGAAGAGGTTGTGAATGAATCCTGGTGTAGTCTTTGTGGTGCTCGGTGTGCAGCCAGATATTGAACAGGGTTCATTGCACTGGAGTTGGAAGACACTGCCGGAGCGGCATTCGCCTGATGGACAGTGAGAGTTTTGTATCTCAGCAGGGGTCTGGTATTGCTCGTGACGAGAAACTATATAGCAAGATTGGAGAGGCTGCTCGTACTGCCCTCAGCGCGCCGCTAAGAAGCTACAACATTGAAAGTCTGCAAGTCCGGCAAATGACCATATATCGAAAGTATTTAGGAAGAAAAGTAAATCTTTGTATTACATATTTAGTTTCATTTCAATCAAGTCCTTCAATGAACCCGGTGAGCGAAACCCCTCCCTAATAATTGTCGCAACACATTCATAGTTGCGAGATGGAAAAAGCGCAATCGCAGAGTCAGACACTGAAACGCACCTAGAAATGCACGGCCTCAATAGATTCTCTTCGCAAGACTTCCGCGTCTACGGGAAGCAAGAAACCTTGCTGAATCTGTTTCTGTATGGCACGGCCTGCAATGAGCCTAGTTTTCTACACTTTTGTAAATCACCTGCATCTTTTCAGGCGAAAACGTCCATTGAGAGCCTACAAAAGTTAGAACAACACCAAGTTGCTCTCACATGTTGGAAGGCACTTACCCCAGTACCAGTTTGGTCTTCCCTTTGGCGTCGCAGCCACAAAGGTGGCCAAGGGCGCATCACTGTGAACGGTTCTCACGCCCCCGACTGCATTGCCATATTCATCCCGCAGGATATCGTCACTTTGGCCAGTAGTGTCGATGGTAGCCCCTAGAGACGGACAAATATCTGCATCTTGCGTCCAATTTTCCATTGCCTCGAAAACGGTATGGTAGATGAACGAATCCGCAAATGTGCTCCATTCAGCACCACGAAGATCCGCAACGGACCACCTCTTTAGCTCGGCCGGCGACGCCCATCGCGACTCGCGGTGCGCCATACACGCCACCTCATAAAGTCGAAAGGTATCGCTGTCAGGCCGTCGGTGGGCGGTGCCGAGCATCTGGCCGCCGATGCCGCAGGGAAACCTGACAGATTGGAACTCGGCCTCGCCTACGAGTTCAATGATCTTGGCTCCGGGGACGTCGGGCAACGCCTCGCCGCCGGATTGGCATGGGAGAAAGCCCTCAAAGGGCGGCGAGCCGTTTGGAAGTCGCAAGTGGGAGGAATGCGTGATGAAGCGCCGCGTCACGCCGCCCGTTTGTGATAGGCCACTGAGAATGACTCGTTGAGCAACCAGACCCAAGGCTCCCGAACGGAGTGCATGTGATGCGGCAGTGAGGATTTCAGGAGATTGTAAAGTTGCGGGCCACCACTTGGCCTTGAAGTCCATGTACGCTTCTGAGAGGACTTCCTTTGTCGCGTCCGTGATGAAAGGGATGTTGGCAGCAAATTCGTCAGAAATCGGACCCGGTATAAACCGAATACCTTTGTACCTTTCGGGATCAACATTCTTAATGTTTCCGACAGCCGAGGTGGCCTGCGAATCCACCTCGAGCCATGCATGCCCTTGATCGGCCTTTGTTAGCAGGGCTCAAAGCTAATACGAGCAGATACAATTGACCATACCATTGCGCATTAACCAGCGACTTGTATGTCGCCATATACTCGTTCCACCCCAAAGATGAGACGGCTCCATGACAACGAATCCAGTGAAGCGGGAAGCATCGTCGGGACATCGCAGCAGCAAGCGGGTGCAATATGGCTCCCCGTACGCCTTACCACTTATCAAGTACTCCCTACTGGCATAACCATATTCTGGGAGCAAATCAACATGATAGGGCTCCAGAATTACCGATTGAGAGTCGTCAGTCACCGGAAGTGGCACGACTGCTGGTGTTGAGACGCGGACCACTGCAGTGATTTTTTCCACTGTCATCTTGAAAGAAAAAAAATGCTAGAACTGAAAGATGAAAGAAACAGTCTTTCAACAGAAGAGAATATGGGATCGTAAGTAAAGAGGCTCTAGGTCATAAGACGTGGTCAAGCAGGTTTCGGACACTGGATGAATGATTGTCCAATTCTTCATGCAGCCCTTCGCTGTTGCAGAGCTAACTAAAACATGGCAAGAGATCTGCGAAAGCGATCAGACGAGCAGCCTCAATTGAGATAGTATTGGCCCGTAGTTCGAACGTTACACCCGGAAGGACACAATGACGCGAGGAACATGCACATGCATTCGTGTCTTTGCGCCGGGTCGCCGATGTCTGAGTCGGATCATTTGCCGATATGCTGGCCGACTCGATGAATGCCTTGCTGAAGTCAATCCAAACTCCCGGAAGCAAGTAAGAGACTTGGAATCTATTGTCAGTGATGTGCAACTGCACCCCTGATGTGTTGCATCGCCATCGAGAGATCAATAGTCGGAAGGACTTTGCCGCTTTGGGCAGAACAGCGCATCCTTGAGGGCTTGGCAAACCAATACAACACGCCGAACACGCCGAGTCAGCTTGAAGGTAACGATACGGCATCATGGCCGGGTTGTTTCATTATTTGCAGCATTGAGTGGGCTAGGAAAAGCAAAGTGAGCACACCTGCCGACGGCCGGCGCTGACTCCCGCCAACTGCCGAGTTGGTACTCTGTACGGAGTACTGACTGGGTAAGCTGATGGGGGCCAAGAGGCTGTGGCGTCGTATCTTCTTTTCTATTCGTAATCTGCTCGGGCAGGCTATCACCTGGGTAATAAAACTGATCGCCGCTTTCTCACCAGCTCACCACCAAAAAGCGGCGAACAGTTTTGTCACCCACGTGGCTATCAGTAGGCTACGGCTGATGATGGCAAGGACCGTGGCTGAGGGCGTGTGACGGGACAACTCTACATGTCTCTGGGGTTGGTTGTCTGACATGCCTGACGTCGCAGTGTTAAACAGTGGCGTCGAGACATGGCGAATATGAGTCTGTCGCAGCGCAGTGAGGCTGGGTATCTAAGTTGCTTGCCACGCCCGGATAGATTGATTCTGGAAAGCGAGGAGAAGGTGTCTGTGCGTCGTCTGGGTGCAACTTGTATGCAGGGAGGATTTGACGTGGTGGTGGGGGCGAGACGAGATAATCACTGACTGTGATGGGTGATAGCTCAGACCGGAAAGCGAGAAGTATTCTCCTCTAGTTGTATGTTGGTACACTCCAAACCCCAAGTATTGGCAATTGGAATTGGATGAGCTGGGAAATGAGTTCGTATTGTCGAATTGAAACAGTAAGAGACCCTGACTTTGTCGGGTGGCATTGAGTGATTCGCCATGGCACAGCTAAAATTATGCAGCCATCGGCGATTCCATCGTGCTAGAGAGGTTTCTCTAGATCGGCTTCTAGTTGGAATGTCTCGCGTGCTTCATTTTCCGTCATGGTCGAGATTCTCAGTAGACATGATGTAGTGCCGGAGCCGTATTCACATGACCCGGTATTAGCGAAGGATGTAATTGTTGGTTTCACGAAGTCGTGGACGCCAATGGTCTCGATCTTGATGGATGACTCGGACGGGAGCCGAGATTAATGCTGGGTGCCGACAAGCATGCCAAGATGACATGCGGAGTCAAACGATATCAGAAGCCAAATATGCAAACTGGTAGCGCTGTGATGGATGAAACGGCGGCCATGATGAGAAGACAGCCGATGGTACTGTGATAAAAAAGAATGAGGCGATGGATTGCATGATGCTGTGACAACCTATCATTTTGACAGGGGCGCCAATCTTCTAACGTTACAGAGTACTGGGCTCCGCCCCAGCAAACGGGGCAGATGAAGATGCCGGTGCAATATTATTCGGCAATCTGTTGATAGTACTTTATCTGTTGCATTGCTTCTATTGCTCCAATTATTATTTGATGCATGTCCTTTACTATTTTTTATAAGTAGTTATTCTACCCACCTAGGTAGATAAATAGCGTCTGTTTGCTACCCCGTTGAGCCCTTGACTCGCTGGAGCCACTGAATCTGCCCACTGAATCTGCCCACTGAATCTGCCCACTGAGTCTGCCCACTGATTCTGCCCACTGATTCTGCTGGGGATGCCTCGCTTGCCACTCCTTGGCAGTCCTACGCGGGGAACCAAAAACGACCCGCCATCTCGTCCGATCCATCCTTCACCGTACTCACCCATCGACCATCTCCCCGTCTTCATCGCCATTGCGACAACCACACATACACGTCTGCATTCGCAGGCTGACTATGCATACCACCTTGCCATGCCCTCCACGAAACGCCGCTTGGCGCCCGACACAAGCAACCACGTCCATGCACCCAAGCGGCAGCGCACCGCTCCTATAGCGACGCCCACGTGCCCCCACAAGGACTTTATTACGCCCATCTCTGATGAGATTCTCGTCCGAATCCTCTCGTATCTGGGCGAACGCACCCTCCTCGACATTGGACTCGTCTCTAGACGCTTCCGCGCTATTGCCTCCGACTCCCAACTCTGGCGTCCGCACTACTACCGTCGCTTCATCCTGCCGCGTGTGCACCGCATACCCGGTTTCAAGACAACACGCGGCCCCTCGCCCGCAGAACACTTCACCGCGGGAAGTGCATCGGGTAGTGCCGCTTCCGCTGCTGCTAAAAATGGCGTCTCGGCATGGCGAAAGCCCGCCTCGACCAAGCGCTGGAACGCCATCCGCGAACAGGTCGTTGACTCGGTCGACTGGAAGAAGCAGTACCGTCTGCGCCATAACTGGGCTGGAGGCCGCTGCGCCGTCGAGCAGGTCGAGGTGCGCGACGCAAGTGAAAAGGCGGTTGCTGTGGCGCCACCGAATTGGCAGACCCTCATCAAGGTCGTCGAGGGAATCGCCGTCACAGCCGACTCAGTATCTGGCCTGCGCGCCTGGGATCTGCGAACGAGACAGACGATTGCACAAACATCGGTAGGACCAGACCACGCCACACGCCTGCGACCTACTTGCTTGGATCTGGATGATACACGCCTTAATAAAGGCCAGGTCGATGTTGCCGTGGGCTTCGAAGATGGCACCTCGGCCGTCTGGCGTCTGGATGCCCATCGAAATATCATGCGAATACTTTTTCGTCAAGAAAAGAGCTTCTTCGGCAGCCTGCTCTCAATCGCTTACGGGTACCCGTATTTACTGACAGCCACACAACTTGGCTTCATTGCCCTTTATACTTTCAATAACCCCTCCACGGACAACACCTCCGACGCTGGTGAAGATACCGACACAGAAGCGGCGCGGGAATTGCCTGCGCAATCAGCAGAGAATACAGATGATGAAAACACTATACTGCCAGCTCCCTATCTTCTCACATCCCTCAAGTCACACAGCACCCAAGGCCCACTAGCTCTGTCTCTGCGAAAGAGCTCGTCATCTGTCGTCGCATCCATAGCATATACATTCAACGCTGTTGGTGGCTGGTCCATCGGCATTCAAGATCTCGATATCCGCCCATCAGGCGCTGTGACTTCACGTGTGGCGACCTCTTTGCCTACACAACTTGGATCCAGTCACCCATCGCCATCTTCTTCGCCCCTCCAAGCAAGCAGCTATCGCTTCGGCCCTACCGATGACGGGACTGGACCCGTCAAGCTTCGCTACAGCCATCCATACCTCCTCGCTACGCTTCCGGACAACACTCTCGTCCTTCACCTATGCACGGCAACAGCCACATCACTCCTGATATCCTCCGGAATGCGGCTCTGGGGCCACACGTCGGGCATATCCGACGCGGAGATTACACCCCGTGGGAAAGCAGTCAGCGTCAGCACGCGTGGCGACGAGATTCGCCTCTGGGATGTGGAAGGCCGACTCAGCCCCCGCAGCGTTGCCGTCAGACCGCGACGGCAGGAAGCCGATGATGGCTTACCGACTGATGATGGGGCTGATTTAGCCACGCCGCGCACGCCGACTCATGCAGGCTTGGACGAGGGACGCCGCAACTGGGTGGGTTTTGACGACGAAGTGGTGTTGGTCTTGAAGGAGGCGAGTAACGGACGCGATAGTCTGGTACTTTATGATTTTACGTAACCAATGGCTCTTGAGCCTAATTTTTTTTTGGATACCCGCATGATCTAGACACAATCATGCAATTTAAGCATTTTAGTATATGGAATAGACAACAAGATTGCACTATCATGAAAGTTTAAGCAATCCAATATATGAAGCAATCCAGTGTGTGAAGCAATCCACAATATGGGAAGGACAATGACCATGAGTCGCTGACATGGGCTACTGCGCGCCGTGCCATGGAGGCGAGGTTTTAGTAAACTGAAACTATGTCGAATACGTTATTTAGAGCAAGAGCTACACAGTCTGCGCAGGCTTGTTCCGGTCTGCTTGGACTGCAAGGCAACTATTGTGAGCGGCCCTGACGGCAGACAGAGCCCGCGCTGGTCGATATCTCAGGAAGAAACCAAATTCGCACTCGACCAAAATGTTTCATGATGATAATGATTCGGTCTACTTTGATCATCTTTTTCCAGCTCTTATATAGGAGCAATGGCCGATGGAAATAGCATGAAATTAGTCGGCTTCGCGTCACAACAACACAGTCACCTCCAACCAAGGCGGAAGCGCCCAATAATATATATGTCTCTGAATCTGAAACGATTATAGCGACAAAGATTCATCTGCCAAAGGCTACGCTTATCCATTCACCAGGTTCTGACATTTTACAGGAATCAACATAGACCAAGGTGCCAGAGAATGTGGTCAGCCTGCCCAGCACCTCTTCTCATCATAGCCCCGATCATGGCCGCCGCCTTTGTCTACTACTTCTAGAGCCGGGCCCAGCCGGCACACCTCTGCGCCAGGAACACCAGCTCCCCATATCCAGCATCCCGCCCCCGATGCCATCTTTTACCAACAAGTAGCGCAATATAGAGGAAACTTCCCCAGCACTTTTCTTGACCACTTCGGTTCTCGCCGGCATCTACAAGAAAAGGCTCGTTGTCCGTCTCCGCCACGCACATGTCTTCAAATAAGAAAAACTCCCCAAAAGAACCATATATCTGCAGCAACATTCCATCTCGAAAAAAAGACCAAAAAGCCCGTGTTCAGCTGTCTCTACCCGTCTCAGATATCACGCCAACTCCGTGTCAGATGACCCTCCCCTCCTTCTCCCACCACACCACCACCAACCACCACCCTTTTACTTCCCTGGTGTCGATTAGATTTGAGCCGCCGCACCAAGAAAGAAGAAGGAGAAATAGAACGTGGGGTGTGGCCCGGGTGGCAGATGGACAGGAAAAGCGCGCGGGGCGCGGGGGACATCATCTGTCACTGTCACGACGTCGCATTCACCGCAACTTGACCGGGGGCGGGATGGGGAGGGGAAGGAGAGGGGCGTGTCTTTATTAGCCCGCAAGTAGCTCGGGATTGCCTAAATTGATTCCTCATAATGTTGCTTTTCGGCACCGATTGCCTTTTCCCCCTCCCCGCCTTCTTCAACACTGAAGCAGAGGGGAAAAGCGCAAATTGTAAATTGCCCGTTTATCCGATGAACTGCTGCACTGTGCGGGTTGACGCGCATGTCTTGCAGACCCCGCGGCAGGTAGGTAGGTGGTAGGCAAGGTACCACATCATCAAGTGACTAAATATGTATGAATAAATAAGTAAATAAAGTGCTGCTGTTGTTATCGCCGTGCGGTTTCTGGCGGAGAGAGTCGCGTCATCTGCTTCGTAATCACGGCAGCGTCGGAGAAGTACAAACGGATAAGATTCTCAAGCTAACGAGCGAGCGGAAATAAAGCGATTGAGCATCGTAGCAAAAGCCCCGAGGGTTGTTGACCTTGGCCTGGCCGAAATTCCAATGCCCATCATCAACGTCCGTTAAGTCCGTCCCGCTGCATGACATTTCAACTTGCGGTGACAGGTTCCAAAGTAAATGACATGCGTAAGCCTTTTGACATGGGTTCGATGGCCACAGACTAGCGCTGGCAACTGTTAGTGAGTCTGTCTGTGCCGTGAAGCAATTAGACATTTTGCTGAACCTAAACCAATAACACCACATAGGGTCGCGGTAGAAATGCACGACACGTCACTTACACGCAGTGTCGCCTGACCACTACCACGACAATTGCATTTCTCTACAAGCCTAGTTGCTCGCTTCTCATTCAAGCATGCCTATACCTACAAAAGACGTCGAGTCATCATCGTCCCATTCAATCATGACTAAATAAGCAAAGACGTCAGCCAATAAACTCGTCATTCAACCATGCCTGTACCCAGAGAGCCGTAGCAAAACTTACCCCAATGATCTAAACAAGCCCTTATTCATCGGCCCGCGTATCGTCCAGTCCGTAAACATGCCTCGTCGGATGCTGCTCCTCTCCGGTTCCGGCATGTAGGCTGCATCGTCGCCGCGGCGCCGCCACACCACGCTCAGCACTTCCTCGGCATCATCGGCGTCGCCTTCGCGCAGCACTTCCGCCTCCTCCAGGTCCCCCATCACCGTGCGTACCCAGTACCGTGACCCCTCGCCCGCGTCCGTAAACAGATAGCGATGACGCGCGTTGTGACAAATGTTCTCTATGACAGCCTGCACCGTCATCTCGGGCGTAACAACCGTGAAGCGCAGTCGCTTGACAATGGCGTCGCCATGGTGCCAGCCGGCCGCAAGCGACGTCACAAGTATCGTGCCCTCACGTGCTGGCCGCTCCGGCTGCCACGCCGGGGAGGCTTCAAGCTTGACGGCTCGGCCCTGTCCGCCCTGGAGCTCCAGCAGCAGCGCCCAGTGGTTGGGCGTCCCGGGGGGGATATGTAGGATGGACTCGGAACCGCGGGAGGTGCCGCGCATTACAGAGTCCTCGCCGTCCGAGTCGAAAACAGGGTCGTGGTCCGAGTCGCGGCGCAGCCTCAGGGGTGCCATATCAGCCATGTCGCTGTAACCGCAGATGCACACGGCGACAACATACGCGGCAATGTCGGTTTCTTCAAAGTTGCTAAAATTCCAGTGCTTATCCATGCTAGCGAGGTCCATCGGGGTTTCACCCATGGTGGTCGTGTAATAGTTTAGTCGGTTGTGTCTGTCTTGGCCCGCCCTGCTGTGTGGAGGTGCTGCTTGACTTGAAGGCTTCATCTTGCGGGCAGAACCTCTTTATTGGCAGTTCGGAAAAGGTTGGGAGTTCCATCGCGACCTGATTGTTATTGATCTGGGGGCTATGATTGTCAAACGCGCACAAGGTCTTTGTGCGTGCCGAATCATAGTGCGACCTGTACAAGAGCAGCCGCCTCACCAACGTGGCCGTGTTCAAATCCAATTGAGCCAGACAAAGTGCACTGTTCACCGCTTCAATTGACACCTGCCGCAACAAGCTGCTGTGTCGTGCAACGGAGAGCCATTGGGCTATTGTGTAAAAGCTATGAGGTCGCCTCACGGGATGGCACGGCATAATGCCAATGCAACGGCTCGCTTTAATATGCAGCGGGTAGAAAAGAGTTACACGGCTACTTTTGGCAGGAGTCTTGAGCGATGCAATTGGCTCTCTCAAGAGTCACCGCGGCTCTTTGAGGCTCTGAGATGTACAGATCAGACGATGGCCATATGCAGGTGTCGGTCTACGGCGGAGTCTTCCGGCGCCGCATGCACGATTGTCTAGGGATAGTTGTGCAAGAAATTGAAGCCAGTCAGTCTGATGATGAATGTCGCCGGTGACGGAGGGAAGAGCAAGTTGAAAGGCTGAACAGAAAGACGGGACAGAGAGACTGGGCTGAATTGGTGCGACTCAAGTTAAATTGCGCCTGTGCGATGCCGGCCAGAGGGCAGGCGCGTAGACAGCGTCGCACGAGCAGTCGCAGTTCAGCTAGCTCCAAACGCCATTGGGCTGCGATGACTGGCAAGGCCTTCCTTGTACCAGTATGGTCCTGTCCAATAGGTCAAGGCACCATTCGTCCATCCAGCATCAGACATTGTATGAGCGAAATATTGACCTTGTCACTGGCAGCAGCCACGACAGTGCGAATATTGCACCTGTACACGACCTCGGGCCAGGAAGTGTTATCGATATGCCCCTCCATCAGAAAGTAATTACGTAGTGACTCGGAGCAATTACCCCTCTATTGATGTCCCAGGATGGCTCTGGTCGTCGGCGCAACACCCACTTTGCTGCAGGGAGATGGATAGTCCAAAGACGTGCAGTAGCCTGAGCATGGCGCATGGGCTCCAAGTTGCAGAACGGCAAACGGGACCCTGATGGGACTGATGGGACTGATGTGAGGGGAGGGATATGAATCCTCAGATTCCTCACGTATGATCCCGGCCATACGTTTGGTCCGTGTCTTTCCCTCGTCTTGGCAGCGCCGCGCAGCCATCCAACCGGCGGCTAGGCTGAAAACAGGACTGGCGTTGACCCAAGGCCGCACCTCTCTTTTTTTAGTGCCCGCATTGCCGCTCTACTGTGCGAGTTGCAGCCTGTCTGTGTGGTCGTCGGTCGATTGACGGTGGGTAGCTTGATGCTCAAGTGGTGCCTGTCCTGGGGTGGGTGGGTGGCGGACCCTGGGTAGCATGCCTGTGACTCACACTCCATTGTTGCCTGTTGGGTAGGAAGCGAAGAAATAGGCCAAAGAATTGACAGCAAACCTTAATGCAATTGACTTTGCAAAAAAGACAGGGCGTTGGGCTTGTAATGTAGCGCAGACTAGCAGGTCTAACGAGTCTCGAAGAGCCAACGGTGGCGAGCGAGGCAGAGGAGATGACGTAGTCACGAGGACGCCTTGAAGGCTCTAGAGGAAGGGCTGGGTCGGCTGGATGTCGTACGGGGTATCATTGACCAATGGTCGTCGCGGATGTACACAGTCGGTGGTGGTATTCGGCATTCATCTGGGGTCGTGTTTACTTTGCCTAGTAAACCGATAGGAAGCGATTGTGTCTCGGACGAGTTGGACATGGTTCAACGGACGCGACGAAAGGCCTGGGATGCGTTCGTGCAGAGGCATTGGCCTGTAAGAGTCTGCCGACGGTGGTGCAAAGCTGGGAAAAGCCTCTACGAAGCAGAGCATTTGGAACAGACCGAGGCACACTGGCCGGTCGCAGCGGTCACTCTGGTCGCTCTGGTTGCTCTGGTCGCTACGCGCTACCGCATCGGTCTTGGTGCGGATGTGAAATTAGCAGCACGGTGTGAGGTGGATGGCGCAGGTGTGATACTGTGAATGAGCAATTGGGGGCGAGCGTGTCCGTCGGGCGCGTGGCCAGCCAGAAGTGGCGAGTGGCAGGCTGGCAGCTCTTGAAGAATTCAGTCAAAGGGAGCCTGGAGGGGGTGTGTTTTTTGAAACGTTGATGGGCTTGTTGGGAGGGCGGCCATGTGTGATTGGTGCTGATTGCTGGTGATTGATGTCTTGTGTAGTGGTGACTGGTAGATTAGGCTTGATCGGAGCCCATCTAAGGCGGTTGGGCAGCGACGTGGGTGTGGGTAGGCGGCGTGGTGCAAAATACTGTCTCTGCATGCCGTTATGCTTGTATCTGGAAATAGAATTGGAAATAGAAAATTCCATTATTATCACAGTGGGTTGTTTAAAAGCTTGCTTGGCTAGCGATTGTGGCGTGTCTGCCTGTTTGTGACTTGCAATTGATCCCTAGCATCAATTGATTTTAGCGAGATGTTGGCGGAGCGAGGAAGCCTCTGGATCGATGCTGGTTGTCTCCTAGTATTCTCGCATGTAATGACGACAGATGACGGTACCATTGTCCGGTTCTGTGGCCATTTCTTCGGGTGATTAGTGTTTTGCGCATGCTCAACTGGAGACTGGCCAAACTCATTCTCCGCCGTTGGCGACGGCTAGCGTAGATGTGGCCCATGGCGGTCTGGAAATCTGGGCTTGGATAGTGCTAGACACAGTGTCGAGATGGAGGTGTTTGATACGGTAGGGAATGGCTGTGATGGTGTGGATGGCGTGGAATATGGGTACGAGAGGCGACTAGCGACCAGCGAGGTTTGAGGATACTGGGCGCGGATATGGCTAGTCAGAGCACGGTTACAGATGGTGCGTGCTGTGTGATTTTGGCAAGATAATGTGATCATATGTGTGGCCGGATTTTGCGAGTAAACAACAAGAGACAAACGGACGCATGAAGACGACGGCGGCGCAGTGTTGATGATGGCGGCGCAGTGCGTTGACAATGGAGGAGGCAATGATTTGCAGCAAGCAAGTAAGCTCAGCCCAGCGCGGCAGGCGGTCTAGAGGTAGGTAGTGGTTGATGATGGGATGGGGCTGACTGCGCAGATTTACAGTGCAGGTGGAATGGTATACGCTGTAAATCTAGGCACTGTAAAGTGCTACAAATTTTTGTCTTTCAACACGGAGTGTATCTAACTTCTGAGCGACCGTTTAATTATTTGCGCACGTGGAATCAATGCAGAGATATGCCGCGTGTGAGAGCGAGCATGAGAAACGGTGTTTGATGCAGATTAGCTATCATTGCGGACACTCAACAAGTTCTAGTTTATTAGCGTAGGTACCTAGGCGTGCTAGGTAGCTACCTACCGAGTGGGTAGGTACAACCTGCCTAGAGGGACCGGTAATGGTGTAATACAGGGCGCGGGCAGCGGGCATATATCTGCCACAGCGGTTGCAGCAGCCGGTTTTCCTTTATCCGGTACTTTTTTCTGGGCGTCTCTTCTGGCTAGGATCTTGGCACTCTCTCTAGCCATCTTTTTGGTTTGTTGAATAAATCTATTCTATTTTTACTCTGCCTGCTGCTGGTGATTCGTGTACACTGATGATACCTCAACAGTCGATAGACCGCCGTCGTAGCGAATTAGGCTGGCGCAGACAACAGAGGGTGCCTGATGACCTCTGCGACGCGACGGCACCTGACTGGGTCGTTGTTCTGGGGTGGGCCCTTCGTACTGCAGATGAAATGGAAAGAAGGGCGTGTGCGCAGCAAAACGCAGCCCATTGTCACCGTATTTCAATCGCACATGCTGACTTGCTGCGAGGGCTCACGGTCCGCCAGCTGCCAGCTGCCAGCTGCCAAACACGCAAAAAGACGATTGGATGGTTGAGGGGGGTGGTGTGCGTTCGTAAATTCTTCAATCACGTACAAGTGCAGGGGCAAGACTGGCCGCCATTGTCCTCACTCTGCTACTCGATTGATGGCCGCTGCAATTGCCGTGATACTGCGGCAGGCTTGCGCACGTCTATCTGGTCGCAAGTTTGGGTTGCCTGATAAAAGACAAGAGGCGTCTTATCGATTGAGTCATCTGCTGTCGGTGCACCCCTCTTGCCCCACCACATCTTGCCCCACAGAAGAGTGCGCAGCCCCTCAGTATCCATAGACAAATTACTACTCGTTGGCTGTCACTCATTGCTCTCCATCTTTTCGTTACTGTGATGCTTTTCCTTTCCTCCTGCGCAATTCTCCCCTCCTCCCCTTTGTGCTTCGAACCGTATAGCTATACTGCGCTGAAATATACCATCGCTTTTCACGGTGCATCCTAGCATCCCAAACTATGTCACAGGCGTCTCGCCCTCTCTTTGTGCTCCCGGCGTGTGCGCAATTGCACAGTCTGCCCTCTTACAAGCAAGGATGCTATTGACCAAAACCATGTCTGCGATTGAGCTTTTTTTTATCACAACTACAATTGTCTTTTCCTTCTTTCTCTCCTGTTTTTACTAATACTCCCTGCTTCAGTCTGAATCGCTGCCCCGCCTTGCAGCCGCTCAGTACAGGCGCTCAGTACAGCCTCCCAGTACTGATATCATATCAGCCCGCGCAGTGCTACCTGACATGCCTCTTTGTCTTTCTCCTCACACGCCTAGGCAGACCCCTAGGCATTGTGCTTTTAATCCTGCTGCCTGTCTCTTGCTACCTGCTGCCTGCGTCTTTACCTACCAATTCTTTGTCTCTTGCCACTTCCGCATTGGCTTTACAAATGCTTAATTGCCAAGCCGATCCAATACTTCTACCTGTCATTACCGCCGCCCGAGTAAAACAGTCAACCCATGTGAAGAAATGTTCAAAAATTTTAGAATATCCAAGATATTCAATGACTCCGCCACCCCTCCTCCTCTGCCACAGCGGGCAGTCTGGTCTTCACAGTGTCTTCCACAGTGCAGCCACGCCACAGGCAGCCTTTTCAGCCCTCTGCCTGCCAGCGACTCAGCGTATCCTCCGCCAGGTTAGGCTACGGCTGCCGCCTAACTTTCATTATTAAAAGGTGCTGAGCCAGCCCAGTCTCCCGCCAAAAGTCCGCCAAAAGGCCACGAAAAGTACATACACGCCCCCCCCCCTCCTCCAAAACACCCCTCACGCAACATCTCAACTCGCCTGGTCTCTTGACCTCTTGTCCCCTTGTCTCTTTGTCTCTTGCCCTTTACCAGTACTTTTCCAGGACACCCAATCACTTCTTCATATTCCTAAACCACACACCCCCCTCTCAAGCTTTCAATAGTGCCCGCCGCCCTATAACTTGGGTACCACCCAGTCTACGCTTCTCCCCGTCTCGCTCTCTGCTCACCATCATCAAACAGCCCATCACCGCCGCCGCCTCACGCCGACTCGACAATCTTCTTCTTGCCACAAAACTCTCGCCTCCAATCAACCAGTCGCTCGATTTACAATCCCCCAATGCTCGGTTTTTTTGTCGCCTTTACAATCCACGACACTGCTCCAGTCTAACCGACTGCCTCTTTACTTTTCGTGCTAGCAACTAATAAGCTCGACTGCTTCACGCCTCTACACCCCGCCCACAAGCGCCACAGCCAGCGCAGGGCCTATTTATTCGCTCGATAATATATCATCGACCGAATAAATTCAAGGCCTCTGCTCGCTTGTTCTTTTCTCCTGCGTTTTGTTCACCTTTTGCAAAGTCCCCGCAAATTCCGACGGACATAACTTCTCTATTCTTCTTTCGGCTTTCATCTTACAAATCCGACGTTTGCTTGCCTGGCCGCGACGGCACTTTGCCACCCACCCACGTCACACTCGAGTACACTGCCTACCTCTACATTCTACCAACCTACCTATTTACTGCCTACCTACTGCCTACCTGCCTACACTAGGTAGAGTCATATCTGAGCTTCCATGGCTGACAAACCTACGCCTGTCCACTGTCCGTCTTCCACCACTTTCGACAAGACTCATCGCCAGCACTTGCCTGCTTTCTCGTCAAACTCCAATTCTACCTCTTTGAATCAGAGGATACCTTTTCCCCCCATTTCTTCGTCTACTTCTTCCAATTCGCAAATTCCCTGGACTGGTTACGCCGTTCCAATGGCCACCTCAATGCAGCGTGAGCGTCCCATCGCTCCAATGGCCCCCCCGCCTCCCAAGGACCTCACCAAGGTCAATGGCAACACCCTCATGTCCCCTCCGGACCCAACTCTTGACAGCTTCAGCCAAAGCAGCCATGAAGTCAATGCGAACGTTATCAATGCCACGCCAATCTCCGGCATAAACTCAATGCCAATGTCCCCTCCCATCTCGCCTTGCAGCAGGCCCCTTCAGCCTACCGCAAACGCCCCCACGACATCTCACAACCAGATTGTTCAGGACCCCGTCCTCTACCCTGCGGACGAGTCTTCACCTGCCAGCCCTCCTCAGGAACCTCTTTTCACTCCTGCAGAGATTGAGCTTCAGCACACCATTGACAACCACGTCCGAGCCCGATCTGCGAGCGCCTTCAACACGGGCTCGCCTCCTAAACCCGGACACTACAAGCTGGCCCTCGATTTTAACCTCGATTTCAAACTCGATTTCAAGACGGAAGTCATGAAGTTTTACAAAAAGAACCCCCGAGAATGGCTACGCAGGCAACGTGAGCAACTAGTGGTCGATAGAAAGGCTTCCCAGCGATTCCAACCAATCCTCCCCGCCACCAAGACTGTCTCTGCGCCCAAGCCCGCCAGGATGCGAACTGAACGTGTCACTAAACCCCAACCTGCACCCCGTCCTCCTCGCAATAGTCTCAGCTCTGGAGTATCGGGTGGCGCCGTTGCCAGACCCGCCAAGCGCACTAGTGCCACCCCGGAGCCCTCTCGTCGTATCGTCGCCCCTAACCGTGAGGACAAGGACTTCCAATCGCTTCCCGACTACTGCCCTCCCGTTGACTCTCTTCCGAATCGTCCTAACTCTTTGAAGGTGGACTGGAAGGGCCAGCCCATTGACCTGAGCAATGATCCTCACACCCGTCTTCTGCACCCCGATGAGGTGCTTCTCGCCGCCAACCTACGGCTCGACTGTGCCACTTATCTCACCAGCAAACGTCGCATCTTTGACCGCCGTCTACAGTGCCTCCGCACCGGCAAAGAATTCCGCAAGACAGATGCCCAGCAGGCCTGCAAGATTGATGTCAACAAAGCCTCGAAGCTCTGGTCCGCTTTCGAAAAGGTGGGCTGGCTCGATCCCCGCTGGGTGCGCGATTTCGTCTAAACGCACGACGGCCTGAATCTGGAATTCTAGGCTTCACGACTATCATTCTTATTGCGATGACGCCTGCCACCACGCCGCAGGATCATCTCTCAAACCCCTTCACATACACTTGACGACTATTTTATTACAACATGATACATCAGATGGCATTAAGGATACACACGATACCCGGAGGACGCCTGCCACACCACTCGTCACTCCACCCTAGGTTTTTCTTTCATTTCTTTTGTTGATGACGCCTACAGAGACTAACCAGCGTCTACTTGGGTAACTTGATTGGATTTTTGTTTTGACTTTCTGGGTAACTTGCATGTTTGGCGTTTGCTCTATTGTCGCTGGATCTTGGATTGGCAGACGGCACTTGGTTGGAGGTTTAAGATTGTGGCACACGATGCCTGCTTATTTTTGTTTTTTGTTTGTCAGGGTTTTGCATGGGATCAGCGAAATAACTTGGGCGCAATGGCCGCTCCAATCTGGAGTTGGCCAGCCAGGGGCACAACCCACCTGGCACCCATTGAACTTGGTTGAATTTATACCTTATGCACAGCGCTTCACACCTGAACCTGTACTTTATTTATGCATGGCATCCCAGTATGCACTAGACGTGGCGCTCGTGAATAGTCTGCACTAACTAAGTGGTCAGCCCTACGAACGGGGTGAAACCAGCATCAGTCACTCTAACTAAATGGGCCTTTCTGGTAAAATTAGTCTTTTTTAACCATTGCAATCTGTAGGGTCCCTGGTTGATTTTTTTTTAGCAAGGGGGGCGTTATCAATTTTATCGCGTATGTGGAGGGGGTGTGGGCAATCTGATCTTGTCGTTTTTTCTGATCGATATCGATAGCGATAAGCTAGATCAACCCGCGTTACTATATTTGGCCATGGATCGTGTTGGCATTTGCATCGGTGGATCGTGTGATGCATCGTCTTTGATCAAATGCGTGTTTTTTATTTCACTGTGACGATATAAATCATTGCCATGAATGAAGAGGCACTCGCTTTGGCTTTTCTCGACGGCATGTTGATGCCTTGATTCAAACGCACCGACATTGCTGGGTGCGTCCATCCGCATGCTGTGAAATTTAATCAGCATGAGTTTTCTTTTTTGTTTTTTTTTGTTCTGCGTCAAATGTCGTCGGTATCCGCATCGCCGAACACAATTATCCGGGAGGATGGGCAGACTGCCGAGTGACAGCCCATCCAAGAACAGAGCCTTGCCGATGCCGCGTCCCTGCCAGACTCTTCCGACGCCGAAGACCAGCAGCTGGTAGCCGGCCACGGGAAGAAGTACGGCTGGGGATCCTGCTTCGTGCGGAGGCGAGCGGTGGCGATGACGCTGGAGGAATGCGGACTGCTGTGTCTGTAGAAAACGGCCGCCGCGGCCGCCGCCGCGTGGTTTTGAAGCATTGGATCATACTCGGATGAGTACGAGCAGTGCCAGTCTGTGTAATTCCATGAGGATAATAACAAACCCAGCGCTGCTCCTTGTATGGATGACGAAAAATTTCTGCTCTGTTAGTTGCTATTAGCCACATGCTGCCTATTGAAAGCAAGGAAGTTGGGTCACGGCGTGAAACACTATTGAGGGATCTTGCAGACCATAGCGACCTCTGATAATCTTTTTTCTATTATCTCTTGTCCCGCAGACAGCGCTGGTGATGGACTCAACACGCAAGTATGCCAAATTGTGCAGTAGCGCCGGTGTTGACAGGCAACGGAGTACAGTACATGATCAGCAAAAGCCTATGGCACTACCTGATGGAATTTCCGGGATACAATAAATGCTATCAGAGTGATTTTAGAGTTACACTAGAATGCACTTCGTTAAGTGGCCCTTGTGTAGTCGCGCGACAAGTTGTGCAATATGGTTCTGGGCGCCTCCTAGCCGGGGCAAAATGGTCGTCCCGAAATACCGCAAATGGCTGGAGGAGGCCTCCAAGATTGGAGGAATGAATACACACTGCGAACGTTCCTCCAGCGAGCTCTCCGGCACGTCCTCCGATGGGGAGAAGTTGGAGCTGTTCAGTGACTCATTCTTTGCCGTCCACGGCTCGTTGAGCTATCAACTCGCGGTCCAAATCTACTGTGTTCTCTGGGATATGAGAATGAACGACTACGAGTTCACAAACACATTCACAAATACAACTTGTGGGCCTTTTTTTTTTTTTTTTTTTTTTGGCAGAGTTGAATTGACGCGCAAAGAGTTGCACTGGGACAACGACAAAGGATATCGTGTTATTACAAGAGAATTGTTTTCGAATGCGGACGTTGATGGAACTCATCGGGCCTGGAAGCTCATTCCCAAGGAAAAGAAACGATGAACGGGTCACAGAACGCAAACGCGAAGAGAAGGATGATGACGAGATGAGCGTCAGGCGACTGAAGAGTAGTGCGAGTGTCGACAGTGGTTTCGACCCAACGGTGCAGTCAACTCCAGAGACATTGCATTGCGACAACGCAGCATGGACAGTGTTTGGCCTGGCGTACAGTCATCAACTCGAGAAAGTCGACGCCCTGCCACACCGCAGGAAAAGAGTACGAAAATGAAAGACGAGACGGGCGTCAAAGCAGGAAGCCTTACACATTTTCATAGCCTAGCTCAGTACGCAAAAAAATGGAAAGTAGGTGGCTGGTAGGAATACACTCGTATACTCGGAGCCAGCCGAAATCTGTATATGCCAGCCACGTGGCGAAAGTATGAAAATATCGATTCAGATTGTTCTCTGCATTGGTGATTATGTGGATGGAAGGCGCCGCCATTTTCGGAGAAGCATGACCCAACATGGCGCATGGCTTGCGCCTTGCCTAGCTAGTTATGCCACAAGAAGCTCATGAAGAAACTTGACTTTGAAGTGCCACTTGAAAAGATTTCTTCCAGTATATTCCTTCCAAGACGAAACGAAATGAGCTAGTGAAGCTCAGGGGACAAAGTCAAGCATATGAAATCTGGTGTTGCGGTATAGTTGTCTAGTATAAATACACTTTTGTACAAAGTCATCAGTGTTGTAACTACACCATTCATCTCCGAGCATTCTAGCCAGCGGATTTCCCAATCCATCTTTCTATAGAGAGGTCATATTAACGGTCTGAATGAATCACGGGTCCAGCATTCACAGGTTGGCACGTGTCCACGAGAATCCTCACTGATAATCATCGCACTTCTAGATGCTGGACAGCTTTGCTCCATTTCTCCTCTTCAGACCTGAGCATCATGTCAGCAGATGGTCCATATGAGTGAGTGATTTAGGAAAAAAACTTACTTGTCAAATTTGAGCAGCTTGCCCAAGACTGGAACAAGTTGCGCACGCAGACGCGCATCCTTTTGCTCTAGAAACTGCAGTAGAATCGTCTTGAGGTATACCGTGTCTGCACTGCCGCCAGAGCCATTCATCGAGCCGCTTCGGTTCGAGTCGACAGACGTCCTGCTCGGGCTCGACAGCAGCTTCGACTGCGCCGCCTTGAGGTCCTTGGCAATCTTTTCGTAGCGCTGCCGCGAGTCGTCGAGCATCTTGCGCAGATCGGCGCGCTGCTTCTCGCCGTCGCGGACCTGGTTCTCCGAGGCATCCAGCGCGCTGCGCAGCTGCGACGCCGTCGCGCGCATCTCCTCTGCCTCGGCCGACGCCCGCTCCTCAATGGTCTCGAGCTCGTCGCGGCGGCGACGCCACTCCCTAGACTTTTCATCCAAGTCGTCGCGTTCTTGCGTCAGGTTCTTCATCTCGCGCTCGAGCTCGCGCAGCTTCTGCTTCAGCTCTTCCACCTCGCGTGATCGCTTGCGTGCGATGGTGCTAGATTCGTCCTCGATGCGCTCGCGCTCTTCAATGGCCGCCTCCATGCGGGTGCGCATCTCGCGGACTTTACCATCCGCCCGCTCGTCAACGTCGGAGAGTAGTCTGCGCATTGTCTCGGCTTCGCGCGTTCTCTCCTGCAGAAGCTTTTGCACCTCGGCAAGCTCTTCTTCTACGGCCTCGGCCTGCGACTTGGATTCCTTGAGCTGCACCGACATTTCGGAGGTCTGGTCGCGCATGCTGCTGAGTAGAGCCTGCGCGTTGATGTACTGTTGCGACTTGAATTCGCCTTCTTCCTGCGCTGCCGCCTTTTCGCGCTTCAACTTGTGCATCTGCTCCTCAAGCTCCTTGACGCGGGGTCGAAGCTTCTTTGCTTCTTCTTGGAGCTTCTGAAGCTCAGCCTCTGCCTTTTCGGCCTTGGCGCTCAGCTCGACCTTGCTTGCCTCGGCGCGGCGCAATTCACGACCCGATACATGCTGGGCTTCCTCGAGCTTCTGCTTCGCACCAACTTCCTGACTGAGCTTTTCTTTGAGGCTCTTAATCTCAATAGCGCGGTCCGCAGCAAGTTCTTGTGCCGATGCAATCTCCTTCTTCAACTCCTTCTCCTTCTTCTCCATCTCCATCAACTCTTTTACCTTGCTGGCCAGTTCTTCCTTGGTAGTCTTGAGCGAAGCATTTTCTTGCCGTAAACTCTTAAGCTCCGGCTGTGCCTTTTGCAAAACTTCTTTCAGTTCGCTAAGATCCTTGAATCTGCTTTGTGCTAGTTGCTGAGCTGCGCCCAGATCTGACTGCAGAGTACTCATCTTTTGCTTGAGGCCGTTATGATCCTTTTGTAAAGCATCCATTTCGCCTCGAACCTTGTCGGCCTTGGTTGAGTCAGAAGTCGACGAGTTAAGTTTGGCTCGGGCTTGTTCAATTTCTGCCTTGAGCTCCTTCCTTTCTTGCTCGAGCGACTTCAACTTCTCCTTGTCTTGGACGTGATCCTGCCCGATATTGACCAGGTTATCACGCAGCGTTTCAATTTCTTCTTGCAAGTCTTCCTCAGATTTTCGCTTCTTCGTCAGACGCTCGATCTCAATGTCTTTCTGCTTGATTTCCTCCTTGAGATGATCGATTTCAGCTTGCAGAACACTCGCGTCAGCTCCGGAATCTTGCTTGACAGGCTCGCTGGATCTGCTCTCGTTGTCGTCCTCGGCAGCGTTCTGAATGGCAGAATTGCCCTTGCCCTTCTTTTTCTTATTCTTCTTTTTGGAGCCGCCCGAGGCACCGCCTGTCGTAGCAGGTTTAGCCGTCGTTTCTGTAATGACAGCCGCTGCTGTTGAAGAAGAGTTATTGTTGACCTGCTTTGTGAGTTGGTCAATCTTGGTCTGCTTTTCTGATTTCTCAGCATCCAGTTTCTGAACTTGCGATTTCAAGTCATCTATCAAGCTCTTGGAGACAATCGTGGCATTTCTGGCCTTGGCCAGCTCCGCATCGAGATCCTGGGCGCGCTTTTCAGCCGCCATCTGCGAAGCCTCAGTGTCCTTGACTTTACTAGCGCTGGCTTCGGCGTCTTTGCTCGAACTGTCCTGCAGCATCTTCAATTCCGACTCGGCCGTTCTCAACTTCTCAGTGAGCTCATTGACTTCATTCGTTCGAGAATCAAGATTTTTTTGCAGCTTCTCCTGGTCCTCGGACCCGCCGCGCGTTTGCTCCAGCTCTTTGGTAGCCTTTTCGAGATTGGCAGCGAGGCCAGCGCTACTCTCTTTCGCAGCGGATAAATCACTCTGGAGCTTGGCTACTTCTGACTTGAGCTTTTCAATCTCGTCAGCTTTGGCTGCCACGTCGGCTTGAAGCTGAGGAATTTCGTCTTCGTAAGAAAAAAAGTCGTCACCAGCCTCCTTCTTCTTGGCCTCGGGAGAGTCAGCACCCTGCTCGGTGTGCTTGTTTCCACCATCGGCTTCCATTGCTTCCAGTTGATTCTTGACCTTGGTCAACGACTCCTCCGCCTCGGTTTGCTTCTTTTTGATCTCATCCTTTTCGGCAGAGACTCGTTTCAGCTCATCCATTACCATGTCGCCGCGAAGATTTAATTGATTGAGGTATTCGATTAAGGCATCCGGGTCGGTGATGGAGGTCAAGGGAGTATTCTCGCGCAACGCCTTCTCGAAGGGCTCGATAGATGTAGCTCGCTTATGCGCTACTCGATATGATCGCAGCAGTTCTGTCCTAGCTTAGCATGTAGAAGACGCCGCCGTTACATGGATACCTACCTGGGTACGTGGCCTCGAGCTTTTCCAGCTTCCGTAGACGTTGCTTGATCTCTGGCGACAGGTCGCTGGAGCCTGACTGCGACGCAACCATTGTATTTGAGCTTGCGACCGAGCTAGCGCTCTTTTTCGGCTTCTCTGTGCTCGTGCGCTTGCCATTCTTTTGATCGGCGGCCTTGTTGCCTTCGTCGGCAGCAGTGTTCTCCGAGGCAGTGGCATCTTTTTCGGGGACCGGGGGTTTTGGGGTGCCAGCGCGGCTCGGCTCGTCGCTATCGTCAATGACAAATGCGGCCTCAAAGACGGCTGGATCAGGGTTCAAAGGCGGCTCTGCTGCATCGGTGCTACCGTTATTTGGTCGGGGTCTTCGCCCGGCATTGGCTCCTTGCCTAGACGAGTCGGAGGCGGATCTGGACATGGGCGCGTCGTCGCCTCTTTGCCGCGCCTGCTCTTCCGCAATAGTGCGGTCGATGGCGCCACGTATTCTCTGGTATTGTTAGCCTAGGCCAGTCTAGGCGCAATCGCATAGGCAGGTTGCCTACCTGGAACATGGTGTCTGTCACCTGGGCTCCGACTACGATGATGCAGCGCTTTGCATGACCGTTTTTTATGTAGGAGATGCGACTTGCTCAATTCTTCCAGTAACTCGTCCGCTTCGCAAGCAGATGGGTGGCCGTGGTAGCGATTCGAAGCTAGGATTGTGATGCTGCGGATGGCCGAGAAGGATGCCAGCCTGTCGTCGCTCACTAGCGGCCATATGTGGCTGGTGGGAGTGGCGGTGCATCTTGTACCGGGTAGCAGTGAGACTGGGACAGCTCAGACAAGGAAGTGATGTTTTGGTGAAACTGGAAAGATATCATGTAAGTGGGGGTTGATAGAGGGAGTTTTTGTCTCTTTCACCCTCTTGTCAGTCAACTGAGGGTGGAAAAGTGTAGCAAGTTCATCACTGGAGGAATTGGCGCTGGTGCCTTGACAGCACGTTTGCCGTCCTATCTGATATGAAGCCAATGAGGGTGGCGTCCACCGTGTTTTACCAAAGTGCAGGTTTGTCTTTAAACGAAGGGAAAGAGGCGAAGAAAAGAGGGCATATAAACTGAAACAAGCAATCATCTGCTTACAGGTATTACGAGAGACCAAAGTCCGCAAAGCGACCATCTAGATACGATCGAGCCCTAGTAGATTGTCGAGGTGACATGTAACTGCGAGCTCATAATCCGGCGCCTCGACCTCAAACACAAACTCCAAGTCGACGATTTCTACCTCAGCATCTGAAATGAGGAAATTATCCAACTTGGCATCGTCATATGCAGCCCCATACTTGGTCAACTCCCATAGTGCCTCTTCGACCAGCTTCTCGAATTGCTCTGCGGCCAGCCCCTGCCAGCCGGGTTTGAGCATCTTCATTACGACACGGGCTGGTAAGAAATATACTGGCATGAGGAACTTGGTGATTGCTTTCAAGCATTGCGACAGCTGATTGAGAGTGTCATAGATATACTTGTAAAAGCAGTGCCATTAATTTGAAGGCCTAGTACATTGTGGTGGATGTGGTCAAAGTTATGGCCCCACGCTGATACCAAAGCCACCTTGAAGCGAAACTAGACGAGGACTTGGCGAGATTCATACCTATATCATGCCTAGATCTTACAGTCGAGGGCCGACATAACCATATGGTGTGTGTGAGGGGATCAGTTGCTGATGCGCCCTTGACAGTAGCCTGGCTCCAAGAACACTGTGCCACGCACTGTGGCGTTCTTGGCTTCCCTGATTCAGTTGACGCTTGCAAGCGCCGACTCGATGCATCTTGTACCGACTATATTAATCGCGCCGCTCTGCGCGCATCTCGTATATTCTCGACACTTATATTCTCTGTATACTGTTGATTGCCGGACCTGTTTTCATGTTTCTCTGCAGACACGCACGCGGCTACTAGACTGGCTCTCGCAGCTCCGCGTTTCGCCTCGGTTTTTGTCACTCGCGCAGGCTACACTACATACCCGGTGTCTCCCCGCCGTCGAATTACGGCGTCTGGCTTTCGCTGCGAGGTGCAGCAATGAACTGATGCTCCGTTATTGACTTTAAGAAGCCCGTGTTGCACGAGTCGCCATTCGGCATAAACAAACACTCGTACACGTGCCCTGTTAGGCTCCAGCTGCCTTCTCCCCGCCTTTCCGCTGACCATCCATCCTATTCAAACAACAAACAACCACCTTCCACGCCTACCAACATGGTAAAACTTGGGGATTTACCGAATGAGCTCGTTTTCAGCATTGTAAGCTGTCTTGGTCAGCCAGAACTCAACGCCCTTGCCCAGACATGCCGCTCCATGTACAACAATGCCAATGGCAGCCTATACCAATTCAACAGGACGAAGAGGAGAAGCTCGGCAGCAAAATGGGCTGCTGAGAACGGTTCGATAGCAACTTTGAAACACTGTGCTTCTGCTGGTGTCAATATCGCCGACTCGTCGCTGGAACTACTTCACGCCGCGGCTATGAATAAGCGGACAGAGATGGTCCAATACTTGTTGACGTTGGATGGTATCGATGCTGCCTACAAAGACGATTCTGACTGGACGCCCATGTTTTATGCCTGTCGAAGTAATGCGGTAGGCGTCGTTGAGACCCTTTTGCAGCACGGTGTCGATGGTGCCTCTCCTGGTCTCGAGGGCTGGGCCCCCCTCAGCATTGCGGCGAGCTTCAATTCCTGCGATGTTGCCCGGGCTCTGATTGCACACGGTATACCTCTGAACACACAGAGTCAAAACGGCTCGACTGCGCTCAAGGCAGCGTCGAGGGGATGCTACACGGCTGTCGCTCAAGTTTTGCTCGAGGCTGGTGCGGATCCTGATATCCCTGCCTTTGGCGGCTGGGTGCCTCTGCACTCGGCTGCCAAATACGGCAACCTTGTACTTACTGAACTGCTTATCAAATACGGTGCCAACATTGAAACTCGACAAGAGCGCGGCTACAGTGCTCTTGCTCTTGCGATCGAGGCCGAGTCGATGCCAGTGATTCGATGCCTCCTTGCGCATGGTGCTAACGTGAACACCATCACTAACGCTGGCTGGTCACCACTATGTCTTGCCGCTGATATTGGTAATGAAGAGGTTGTAACAGCACTTTTGGAATACGGAGCAGATCATACATTCGCTATCTCGAACGAGTGGTCAGCCCTCAACCTTGCAACCTACAATGGGAATATAAGCATTATTGATGTGCTTCTGGCGCACGGTGCACTGCCCGATGGTTGTCAAGATGTGGGAAGAAACACGATTGTCAACGCTATTGATAAAGGTCACCTGGATGTCGCGAAGAAATTGTTGCGTTGTGGTGCGCGTGTCGATGTCAGAACTGAACGGGGAGAGACACCTCTGATGAGAGCCGTTCGGATACACAAGACGGATTTTGTGCACCTGCTTCTGGAGCATGGCGCCAATGCCAATACTCAAAACGTCATCGGATGGACACCGCTCATCACCGCCGCGCACGAAGGCCACCATAAAGCCATTGAGCCACTGCTCAAAGCTTCAAGCGGCAACCTCAACTATTCCGATACAGACGACCGCACTGCCCTTATTCACGCCTGCATGCGTGGCAACCGCGATGTCGTCGATACGCTCGTACAGAATTATCCCGTCAACTTGGCCTGCCGCGATACCTGGGGCTCGACTGCTTTGTCGATGGCTGTGCGCAATGGACGAACGGAAATAGCGCGTGCGCTCCTGATGCGTCTTGAGCCAGAGGAGGTTCACAAGGACGTGGATAACCTCGGCCGCTCCATCTACCTGTGGGCTACACGCAGCGGAGACATGGAAATGCTAGGAATCTTGCAGGATTACTGCAACACACACGGCCTGGTGCCGACTACAGACCTGTCGTCTGTCGACGTTGATGCGGCGTCTTTTGCCGAAATTAACTGCTGGTGCGATGTTTGCGGGCAATGTAGCATCCACGACCGCGACACCAAAGCTTGCATGGTCTGTGATGAGGGCGAATTCTTGATCTGTGCCTACTGTCGTGACATGGGAGCTGGTTGTCGAGGCAAGGAGCACATGTGGCAGTCTTTTAGCTGTCAAGCGGATTAGATTTGTGCTCGCAAACCCAAGGCCTGATTGCACTGTTTTTGCAGAATGCGGGATTACACCCTATGTATAACGAGGTTTCAAGTGACATTATGAGCGGAAATGTTCTTTTATCAAGAATAGTAATTTTCTAGCCCCTGTCTTATTCTCAATTCGAGTTTGACTCTTTCATTCTTTTTCCGCTGTCTGTAAGCGGACACGGCGAGGGCTTGGGCTACTGTCATTGCCATCAATATATCGTAGCCGGTCTGCCGCACCCCGCGAGATGTGGGAGAGGGAACGCAGGTTGGACAGGGGCAGCTCTGAACCGCCAAGAATTCGATTAATGATCAAAGTACAGTCAATGACTGTCACAATGACTGTCACAATAACTGCCACAATAACTGTCACGGCCGAAAACGGAGACAATGCTTGTCAAGGTGGCTGTCAGCGGACGGTTGGCCAGAGTCGGGCAGTTACTTGCCGTGCTTGATGCCCGAGCGGCTCCAAGCCGGCGGGCAGCGTCGAAGGAACCAGTAAACATCAAGTCACGGCATAATATATATATATATACATACATATAAGCAAAGTGCTTTGAAGTGCTTGTCTCACCCCTCTGCTGCAGGCGATGCCACATTAGCCGTGTAAGTCGCGCCGGTCGACGATCGTGACCATGCTGCTCCGTTCACGCTAGGCAGATAAAAGAGTGTGATTAAAGTGCAGCATAGAGTCATCTTGTTTTCTGTTGAGTCTGTCCTGTTGCTAACGGATCCCGAAATTAGCGACGCACTTCCCAACACGTTCTCATGCGGCCGTTCACCCGAATCACCTTGCTCTACTGTCCTTGGCTTCCCTTGGCAACACACACCTCTTGGCTGCAGCAAATCAGTAATTTCCATGATCGGAGAGGAGAAGTTGACTCTCTGTATGACCACGTGTATTGCTATCCACCCGTAGTTCGTCCAAGTAATTCAAAAAAGCAAAAGCCACACCTTTTGGTCCGATCGGAACTCCATGTACGACGGTAATGGTAGTGCAAGTTCATAAACTTGTTGTATAAGGCGGACTACATCCACTGGTATCTGTGTTTTGCTTTTCTGCACACGGCCATTGGTGACGGATGAGAGGATTCCAGTATATCTGTCGTGGGATGGTGACGAGACAATATAACACTTTGGACCACGATATTGAGATGAGGCTGCTAGAGGGTTGCATCGGGCGGCTGTGGCTAAAAGCTCCCGACCTAGTTATCTGTATAGAGGCTGCTAGAGGGTGGCATCGGGCGGCTGTGGCTACAATCCTCCGACTGAGTTGTCTGTATAAATACACCTACAAGAAGATTTCCTCCAGCTCGGATAGTTTTGGTTCAGAGTTCACGGCCTATACCTAATTCTCTCTTCTCGTTTGCTTTACCTATCGAGTCTTGTGGCATCTTCAAAGTTGCGAGATCACAACACAACTTGTACCGCCGTCATGCCTTCCCACCGTCCGGGCCCTTTGACTCCCACCCCTGTCATCGTCGTCAAGGACTCTGGCTCTTCCAGCCGCGAGATCAATATCAACAGCCATGCTGAATCTCGCTCAACCCGTGACGGCGGCTTCGTCTACAACTCGCACACTACAATTACTAGCGAGTCCACGCCGCCGCCGGCACTGCGCCGCCCTCTCCCGCCATCGCAACAGATGAGCACCATATCGTCGCGAGGACCTCGCCTAGCTTTGCCGGCGCCACCATCCTACGTCTCATCTCCGTCACGCAGCGCAGCGCCCTCTTTTGCCTCGTCTTCGTCGCGGACGGCGCGTCCGAATAGCTTCTCCACGCCGTCGTCGACGGCCACGGGGTCGAGTCGCCGCTTCCCGCCAGTGTCTTCTGGGGGCCAGTCTCGTTTGCCGCAGCAGATGCTCTTGCTGCGCGACGCGCCGCCGAGTAGTAATGTGTCGTCGCAGCAGCGCTCGAGATTTTCGGGCCTACATGACCACTCGACGGTGATGCCGGAGAGCTCGGCGAGCAACCATACGCATAATGCGGAGAAGGCGGCGCGGAGGGATATGGAGGCGTGGGCTAGAGCGTCGAGACGCAGTTAGCAGTCCAGTGTCGATGAAGAATTTGTTGGATGGTAGAAGGGCTGTTGAATGACAGTTGAAATGTTGAATGGCAGAAGGACTGTTGGATGGCAAAAAGGACTGATGGTTTTGCCTTTGGCTGATTCGTGATATCGAGCTTTCTCATATGTACCTGATTCAGATTGGACCGCGACTATAATCAGACTGAGCCGTCGTTGATCGAGGCATTTACCAAAAAAANAAAAAAAAAAAGAAAAAAAGAAAAAAGAAAAAAGAGAAGAAAAAAAAACCGAACCAGTCACAGTGACCAACTCACGGCGTATTGATCGAGTCCTTCTATTGTCAGTTATCAAACCTGCCACCTATCCAAAGAAACAAGATCCAAAATAATAATAGCAAAGAATCATCAACTTCCAAATCCTTACAATGAAACCAACCCTTACTCCTCAACACCGAAAACCCCCCCGAAAAGAACCAAACCCAAACCCACTCGCCCTCCTCCAGAACAACAAACAGCCTGCTTATTGTTTTAGCCATTCGTCACACTAATCTCGTAACCCACCAGCACCTCTGTGCTCGTGCCGTTCCAGCCCCTCGTGCCCGCCGCACTCAGCATGAACCGGCTCGTAGGATCAATGTACAGGCTTGAAATAACACCCGCGCGTGGCGGCCCCGGGATAATCAGAAACGGCACCGTCGAGTGCTTGTGCGCTCTCTGCTCATGCAAGTCGTATAATCGCATAATGTCAAACGACGCACTGTTTTTCCGCGGGTTTCCCCTCATTAGTATTACGCGCATCATTGTAGGAATTTCGGGAAAAGAGAGAAAGAAAGACAGAGAGAGAGAGAGACAGAGAGAGATAGAGAGAGAAAGACTTACCACACTAGATGCCGCCCATTCGCCATGGGCTTCACCGCGCTCACCGCGCCGCTGTCCGCCGGAAACTTGAGCACGCGCTCCGGCGCCCATCCGCTGCGCGCCGCGCGCACGTCGTACTCTTCGACGGTGCCGTTGCGGCGGCCCGCGTAAATCTTGTTGCCGTCGGGGCTCCAGCACGCGCTCATGCACCAAGGGGGCACGCCGGCGCGGGGCACGATGCGCGCTGCGGGGTTGGGCATGCGTCGGTCCCAGATCCGAATCGTGCCGTCCATGGCGGACGCGAGAAACGTCGTCGCAGAGGTCTGCGAAGAGTCGAGCTGCTTGCCGGCCGCGGTGTCGGTAACGAGCGTTGGTGAGCGTGGAGCAGGAGGGGCAGGAGGAAGAGGCGCTGGCGGGAACGGCTCGGTGCCAGACTGGGAGCTGTTGTTGGTCTGCAGGGTCTGCGTGGACTGCGTGGCGCTGACGTCGGTAGGCTGCGGGGCTGAGCTGTCTTGGGAGAGCGGTGCTTCGTGCTTGACGGGCTGCGGATCATCGACATCCATCGCATCGCTCTCTGGCGCGGCTGCTTGTGCTTCTTCCTTTGCAGCAGTCGCCGCATCGTCCGCCGACTTGTCCTTGTCCTTGTCCACGTCCAGGCCCGCCATGGCCATGTCGGCCGAGTGGTCCATGCCGCCCTCCTGCTCCGTCATCATGCCCATGCCGCCGGCATACTCCTCGTCGTCGTCCTTTCCAAACGGCTGCTCGTCGTCGCCCGCCGTCTCGCCAAACAAGCTTCCCGCATCGCTACCGCCAAACAGGCTCTCATGCGCCGGCGACGCGGCCCCCGCCTCCCCCTGCTCCCCGCCCGCTACACCGTTGCTGCTGCCGTGCGTCTCCTCTTGGTGCGAGTGCACCCCGTTGGTGGTGGTGGTGGTGGTGGTGGTGGTGCTCGCGAAACCATTCGTAAATGGCGCGCCACTGTTGGTCGTCATTGTTGTGTGCGGCGGGGGATCGTCCGCGTCCGCGGGTACTGGGTCACCACGCTCGGGCCGCAGCTCAACGGCCGAGATCTGGCCCGCCGTGCCGGTGAAGCTGCGAATCACCTGGCCCGTGTTCAGATCCCAGTCGAGAATCGTCTTGTCCCAGCTGCCGCTCAGGACCGTCGTTTCGTCGGGTGCCATTGTCAGCACACTAACCGCATTCGTGTGCCGCTGCAGGCTGCAAATCTTTTTCCCCTCGTCGTGCCGCACGCTTTGCAGGTTAATCGCGCCCGACTCCAGCCCCGACAGCAGCCACAGCGCCGTCGACTCGACCGCGAGCGAGTACACGGGCGACAGTATCTGCTCGTGGTGGCTCGTCATGGCCCCCGGCGGCGGCGGCTCCTCATTCTCCCAGTACGACATCAAGATGCCCGCCTTGGTCACGCTGTCCACAAAGGGGTGCCTCTGCGCGACCGTCAGCGCGAGCTTGCCGTTGATGGTGCCGGGGCCGTCGTACTTTCGAATGTAGCCGTCGGAGCCGCCCGTGAACCAGTACCGCAGGTCCGGCGTAATGGCCATGGCATTGACGCTCGTCGACTGCGGCGCGGCCATGGTAGGGACAATGTCGTAGAGGCGCGCGGTGACGTACTCGGGCCGCACCGTCGGCCGCAGGTAGGCTGGAAACTGCGGACGCGGGCTGCTGGATTTCTTGGGCAGCGGCTCTTGACTGCCATTGTTTTGTGCCGAGGCGTTGTGGCCGTCGTCTTGGTCGCCGTCATCGTCGTCTTCGTCATTGTTGTCCTCGTTGTTGTCGTCGTGGTCGGGCTCTGCGGGCTCGTCCTCCATCACCTCGTCGTGCTCGTTTTCTCGCTCTGACTCGGGCGAGCTCGCAGAGAAGCGCTCCTCCTCGTCCATTGTGTGTGATTATATGTGTCGTATACGCGGTATTCGTCGCAGTAGGTCGATGCGTTGCCCTCGCGATCAGGGATCACGGCATCACCTTGAAAGCAGTCGCTAAGCGCGTCCAGGCGAGTCGCACTCCTCTCTCCCCCGTGATTGATTTCGCTTCTTTGAAGTGTACCCTTTTTCGCTGCTTTTAGCCCACTTAGCAGCGTTGCGCGTTGATTGATATAGAAGTGGTTCTTGTTAGCTGAGGTTTAGTTGTGGAGTGGTTGCGCTCACACTAAATCGTGGCGGCTGCCATTTATTACAAGCCGCTTATCAAATCAGCAGGCGACTCCAGACTCTGGGTAGCTGACTTACGCCCCGTCATTGTACAACGTCATGAGGGGAAAAAAGATGCATATCAAATGAAAGTACAAACAAGTTCCGTTTCAATGTGTCATCAACTCTTTTCTACTCCAAAAACTGTCTAGCAAGACCTTGTTGTAAGTCGCATCGCTCGAAAAGCGGGTCGAGCTCTTTGAAGCAAAACGAGACATGGCGATAACCCAATCAATCTCATATATACATCCAAAGTAACACAAATCATGTCCAATGATGAGGGCTGGACCCGCGTCAAGCGTAAATCCCGCCAAAATCCTCCTAAAAAGATACACACCGCCGAGGCCCATCACCTTCCAGAGACCTTTACGCCGCGTACACACGGTCTTCTGCGACCTCCAAAATCCTTGCGCGCCGACCACGACAAGATTCGCGCGCAATGGCTCGACTCGCCCGCCCATGAAGCCTTGATCCGCCTCGTCGACTCACACGCCCAAAGCTTGCACATAGACAAGGCTGTGTGTCTCGGCATCGGCACGTTTGATCCGGAAGATGGTGGGTGGGAGGCCAAGAGGGCGGCGTATGTGCAGCTTTGTGCGCTGTCGACGCTTACATCACAATTAGGTGAGATTGTGTTACTTATTGTTGGTGTCTGTTCTCTCTGATAATTGCTACCATGTCTTAGTCTCTTGTTCCTCTTTGTTTCATGTTCATTGTCATCTAGACCTACTAACATTGGGACAGAGAAATATAGCAAACACTCCATCGAGTGCATATTCCAAGAACCAATCTTCACAGACTCGGACAAGTCCTTTCTCACCTCTCTAGGTCATCGTGTTGTCTCTTCCCCCGCGGCATACTCACTCATTGATAATGCCACCCTTCTCTTGGCCGTGCACCTTTACCGTCCCATCTACGCGGCCGCTCTACAACTCAACTTGCCCGCCATCTTCATCGGTACAGGCTGGGATGTCTGGGACACGTATGTTCTTTTCTTTTTTCTTGCTCGCTTCGCTCGACGTGGGCCGTAGTAAGCCTCTGAGTGAAGCGAGGAGGCGTGTAACTGCGTTCCAGAAGACATGCTAACATGATGAGTAGAGTAACAATGGAACATTCAAGTGATTTGGACAATATGAAGAAAATGCACAGCATGTATTCACGGCATGCGTTTCCGCAGGACATCACAAGTACGGCCTTTTCCAGCACCAGTATATATTTTATGCCGCCGCAAGACAAGTCAGTGGCTATCCAGCACACGTCACAAGAGAGCACTACCGAAGATGACGACGGGCACAGACGGCAGCAATGAGTCGACAGAACATTGACATCAAAGTTGTGACAGAAAACACAGATGAAAGGTCGCCGAGGTCAATTAATCATGTATAAATACATTCCTCGTACGCTAGATACTATTCTAATTCATGCCCAGCATTCGCACTTGTCAAAAAGAAAAACCCCCAGATACTCCATATAAAGACAAGGCCCACCAAATGAAATAAAAAAGTGTCACAACAACAGACACCTACACGCACGACGGCCAAGGACCGCGAGCCATGCTAGCAGGTTAAGAACAGCATTTCAATGTATAGTCATGCCAAATCACAGAACGTGGAGTGCTCAATCACCTTGATCGAGTCCATGATACTTCCCATCTCTCGTCTCCTCGTCGCCATTTCCAATAAAAAATCATGCCTAAATCAGGCCGCTAGGATACTGTTTTGCCTCCGCAATCGGGAATCTTGACGCCCTTTTTCAAATTTCGATTCACATCAAGCAGACCCCACTTGTCCTCCCAGTTCTCCTTGCCCGAATTGAAGCGCGACTTCCAAGGCTCGTCAAAGGCCTCGAACCAAAAGTAGTTGGTGCCATTGGTTAGGGCATCGCAGACCCAATCGCTCATGAAGCGGTTCATCTCGTCGATGCCAGCCTTGGCGGGGTCAGTGCATTGGGGAGCACTAGTAGGGCACCTGGAGCCGCCCCCAGAGGGCCAGCCGGTTTCGGAAATGACATTCATCTTCTTGTCAGTCTTCCACATAGGGCCATTCTTGTTTTCCCAGAAGCTATAAGTCCATTGGGCGGCCAGATTGGCTGGGGTTCCGCTAAAAAACGGATGAATGTTGGCCATGATCAAATCAGAGTCCTTGCCGAGCTCGGCAGTCCAGTCGTCGCCAAGATCCGAGGTAGCAACGGGCATGCTGATGCTTCGCTTGGTCAGGTTAGTGCGGACGTCAGATAGAAGCGTGGAGAGCGTGTTGATGGTCATTTCTTTGCGGAACAGAATTTCGTTGGCGACAATAACGCCTTCAAACTGATCGCCGCCGTACTCGTCGAGAATGTCCCACATTTGGGAGAGCTGGCGTTTGTTGGTAGTGCTATTTCCATCTTGCCAGACGCCAAGCCAGACTTTGAGATCCTTCTTCATCTGTAGTCTGTCAATGGCGTGCAAGACCATTTGGGTCTGGTTGCAGTCGGTTCCGTACAGGCGAATTTTGTTGGTGAGCTGGCTGAGAACGGCAACGTCGCGGGTAACATTATTCTGAGAGGGCGGATTGTGAATGCAGTCGGGATATTGGACGTTGATCGGGGTATAGTCCATGCCGGGAAAAACTCTGTGCAGGTTCTGATTGTTGAGCAGCTTTTTAATTTCGGCGCTGTCGAGGCCAAGGTCGCCGCTGGCATCGTCGCTGGGGCTGGTCGTCTTTTTGTTGTCATCCTTTCTCCCGGTGACGAGGGTTCCAACAACACCACCGACAATGGCTCCGGCAATAACGAGGAAGATGAGGGCAATGATGGCCCACTTCCATTTCTTGGAGCGGCTCTGCTTCTTCTCTAGCCAATCTGAGGATCGTTCGCGTTTTGGAGGTTCATAATAGCCACGAGTGTCTGAGAAGAAGCGAGTCAGCGTACAATATCCAGCATGTGCGGGATCTAAAAGGCGGTGACTGAGGGAATTGAAGCAGAGCAAGAGAAAACATACCATGTTCGGCAGCTACGGCTGTGGCGCCGCCGGCAGCGGCACCGATGGCTGCGGCACCAGCAATGGGTGCACCGCGTTTATTGGCGCTGTTACCAGAATTTCTGTGACTGCGACGGCCATATTCAAGACCATCGTCGCCATCATCAGCAATGGACATTGGGTCGACCATGCCAAGAGGAGGAACGACGTCTCGACGAGGGGCGGTCGAATAGTTGTAGTAGGCTTCTTGGTTGGAGCCATGTCCCGAAGCGTTGGGGCTCCGAGAGGGCGATCTCGATCCGACGGAGGAAGAGGCAACGGTGCCAAAGGGGTTGACGGTAGAGCGGGAATCAGTGTCAGTGGCATATCCGGCGGCGTAGGGGCCGCTGTGTACGCTTTGGCGTGGTGATGAGTTATTCCAGGCGTTGTTCTGGTATTGTGCGCGTGAAGGCGGAGGCAATACCTGGCCTGTAGTGCGAAGAGAGTCCATGCCAATGTCTGCAGGGTTGCGGTCGGCAAAGTTGGAAGGGGCGGCAGCCATGGCAGCGGGGGGAACGGCGGCGGAACCATAGTTGTCATGAGCAGGTGGGATATTGTGAGAGGCGCCTCGGTAGTCGTCGGGGGGTTGACGCGATGCAGAGCTGTTGGAAGCGTGAAGATTCATGTGCGGAGGAGGCTGTGGGGGACCGTGGGCGGACATGTCGTCGTAGTGAGCGGGCTCGTAATGAGAGCTGTTGGGGTCTGCTGTGTGGTGAGGCAAGTCGTCATGATATGGTGACTGCTGAGCGTATTCGTCGTATTGGGGTCGTCGAGTGGGAGTGTTGTAGCGATTGTCGTAGGCGGGATCAAGAGGCTCCCTCTCGTAGTGTTGGTCGTTGGAGTAGTGCTGCATGGCGATGGCGGGGAAGCAAGCGAGGGCGAGATTTCAAGAAAGCCCGTGTCGGGGGGATTGGACGACAGCGGGCCGCTCAACGGTGTGCTGCTCTTGTTGTAGATGGTGCATGCACAGATGTGTTGGGATCGAGGGCAATGCCGTCAGGGAATTGGCCGATTTGGTGTTGGCGACCAGAGGCAGCGCGGTCGGGGGCGGTGTTTGCGACAGGTTGGGTCGGTGGGCAGCGCCGCAAACAGCCGAGAGAAAAAAGGGCGCAGAAGCGACGATGCTTCTAATGACGAGGCTGCTGACGACAAGCCCGCTGAGGGTATTATTATTTGGAAGTAGAGAAGATGTAGAAGGATGGAGGGAGTGATGGAGGGAGGAAAGGGTAAAAAGAGTGCTGGGGCTACGGTAGCTTACAGTAGTCGCGGGAAGCGCAGGACGGGTGAAACGGCAAGGGCAGAGAGGGTGAAATGGAAATGGTCAAGGCAAGCAATGGGGGTAAAGAAGGCTGTGGTAGCCTGTAACTAGGCGACTCGACCAAGCCAGGTCTGGAAGTATAGAGGTATGGAGATGACCATGGATGAAATGGGAAGAGGCGCAGCTCATCAAGCTGGAAGCGGGAAGCGGGAGTGGTTGCAGAATGGTTGACGGAGTGGATGGAAGAGTGGATGACAAGGTGGGTTCTGGATGAAGCCAAAGTGCCAGGTGCCAAACAACGTGCCTCAAAGTGGTGTGCTGGTGTAAGTAGTTGCTGGTGTGCTAATAGAGTTACTGGTGCTTTTCTAATAGATGTTGGCGACTCGATAATGCCAGTCGAGAATATGCGGTGATTTATTGAGATGATTTGAGTGTCAGAGGAGCGCACGGAACGTACCTACCTACCTACCTAGATACCTACCTACCTAGGTAGGTACCTAGAGAGAGCCCTGATCATGAATTACAGCGTCACTGGTTGCACTTCCAGCGCATAGATGGTTGAATACAGCGACTCTTCTCCACCGTGATTCCCTGGCCGACCTACCTGTGATTCGTACAACAGTGCTGAGTGCCTTGTAGATCCGAGCAGCGGCAATGCTAAATAAATATTCAATTAACTGGATTTGGCAGGATTTGGTAGGATTTGCCCCTGTACATCATCTTGTACCTTTGCTAGTCTCTTGAGCCATTCTACTAGCCCCCTTTAGCACCGTTCTGGCATCATGGCTAAAACATTGGGCTCATTGTTCTCAATAGCGCCACCAATATACGAGTCCCACAAACACGAGAAGGTTACAGGTCTGCGTTCGACTGCTTTATCAAGCCTCGAGCAAAACCTAGTTCTTTACGGAGTATTCGATTCATGATTTTCTTTCTTCTCTTTTTTACCTCGAGCCAATCCTGCTCGTCCCGTCCGCTAACATCAGTCGCGAGGCCACGCCAGCTTTTACGAGATTCCCTCAATCAAGCCAATCCACCGAGAAGAAAGAAATTAGCCTAGTTGCCAGAAATCAATATCCCCATTGTCCATGCCTCGGACAATTTTTTTTTTTTGTTTTCAATTCCAGCGACCATGACGCACGCACGTTCTCGCGGCCAACCCCCAACTACATCCCTTGTTCGTCGCTCGGGGCAACCACCATTGATAACTTGAGATGGCCGGCCGGCTGCTTATCTGGCAATCTGGTTGCCAATTGTACTCAGTATCCCAATTTATTCCAACAGTGACAGCCTCGTCTCGATGCACTAATCCGTACTGGTAGTTACCAGTCATGCATACGGATAATTACTACAACACAAAGTCTGCCTAACTACCACTTCCCGCCGTGTCTTTTTTTAGCCCACAGCCTGCCGGCCCTGACCTTCCTTCTCTGCCACGCAAGCTCGCCTTAATACCAGTATTATCTTAATATCAGTATTATGCCCTCTGGTCCAACATGTAGTTGGCCAATGAATATCTTCCGAGAGTCCACCGAACCGAAAATGCGGTCGCCTCCACCACAACCCCTTGTCACAGTCTCACACCCACGACTCACGGCTCCTCTAGCTTCTGCTCGCTTCATCATTACTCGGTAATAATGCAGTATCTACTCCCTGTCCGGCCTCCTCGCCTGGAATGCCCTGACATCACAATCAGGCGCTCCTCATTACATCCTTCGCTCACGTCCTACAAACTCTTCACATCTTACGTCTCCCCTGTCTTCTTTGAGGTAATTTTTCCTCGGGAAGAAAATTTAAAAGAAAATTTAAAAGAATGACCACACTCCTCTGCTTTACTTGTTTGACCATTCCTCCCCTTCTCCACGCCTGGAGCAAGCCGACGGCCCCAGCCAGACTTCAGATCCCACTCGCAGCCTCACTCCACCGCATCACGCACCTTATTCAATCCCCTCATCTTAAAATACGACTCGCGCCAGGATATCCAATGCAAAATGACACGCGGCCGCATCCTCGTCCCAATCCTGCGACAGTCCACTCCTAGTTTTGGAAGAGGCTGCACAAAAAGGACGAGCCCTGTCGCTCCACCCTCGACTGTTTCGTCCTGAGTATATTCTGCCGATCCATGCCTCGCCATCTGTGCCCTTATTTAATCAGTACATGTGTACCACGCGCTCGCCCGTATCCCCCCTCATGCTTACGCGGCTTCTTTTCTGCTCGCCGCTTATAATAGCTGAGTGATAGATCTCAGTATCCAGGCTCCGCCATCCCCACACATTCAAAGAGACATTTTGTGCCTTGGAACCTTTCCAACGTGCCCTAGTAGCAGGCAAAGCTAATATGAATACGATTGATCTGCACGTAAATGCTATCAGTTTTCGATGATCATGCGACTCGCTGACGGTTCATTTTTTCGTTTATTTTGTTCGCTTCCATACGAGATTATGCCTCGGTAGCCAGTTGCCAGGAATAGGCGACAAAGCGAGTCGCCAATCTTGAACAGAAGAAAGTAAGAAAAGCCAACTAAAATTCAGAGACAAAATAAACAAGAGTAAAAAAGTGGCCAAGACAAACTCAATTAAGGAATATCACAAACAAAGGAAAAAGTATGCAGCGCAGCTTCAAGCTATTTACCAGCTTTACCCATCAATAAGCAATTCAGTTCTGAGTTCTTGTTGGCACAAAGACAGCTGATGCACGTTGCTGTTTTACGCCACACATCTCTCTATTGTAAGTCCTTGAACTGATCAGTGTAGGAAGATATCGTTACATTCGACCCTTCCTCGACCAGGTCCCACATTCCTCGGCATGGCCAACATGCTGTACTGTTCCAGTAGACTCGAAGCGAGGCAACGTCATCTTTGAAAATGACGAAAATACTAACATCATTGTCACTCACTTACCAGTCCAATCAGGATGGCTGAAAGAGCTTCCTCGACTTGATTATTCCACAACGTGTGTTGATTCCGCCTGAGCCAGGCCAATATCGCGGCGGCTTCCCAACGTCAAATAATTGGCCTTTTCTGAATATCAATCTCCGTGAGGGCTATGTACTTGGCTTCTCTGTCTCGGGAATACGACGCTCGGAGAGGACTTGCCACTGAAAACCCCACGTCTGTGGCTGAGACAATCTTATTGCCAGATCTGAACCTCGCGCATGCGACACTGCTTGAAGCAGGTCGATGCCGCCGGGCATCCAGGGTTTCTAACACTTAGAAAAGCACTTTATGCCGTTCTCTAATTGATTGCCAGATGATGTCCCTCGAAATTAATCTCGAGAGTCAGACTCTAACTCAGATGAGATTGTGAGGCCGTTTTCAAGGATCGGGTGACGTCAGGCTGTAGGGTACTGATGCCCTGACGTACGCCTCTCAATCAGGCACGTACGAGTGTGAGGTTCATTCGCTCCGTGGGCATGACATGTTGAGATTTACGCTTTGCGTGCAGAAACACATTTTGAACGGTGGGCGTACAGGGTAACGAGTCACGACCACGTCGAATTTTTCAAGGCCAAATTTCTGTTCCCTCTTTTCCCTTCAGTTTTGCTTTCTTCTTCAGTGTCAATTATTCGGCTTTTTCTGATTGTGTCATTGAGGTGGTGGCATTCTTTACTCGCACACAATCGTCAAAAAAGAGTCAATTACACAGTTCAAATGTAATTGCGTCAGGCTTGTTTGCGATAGATACCGGACGTACTAAACTATGAGCGAAATGATTTACAGTCGCTCTTCAATACAAAGCATGGCCAAATTACGTGTATAAGAAGCTGGGCATTAAGATATCATCACCATGATTCGAAAAAGAGCCGTTGTTGGATCTGTTGCCATAATTTGTCTTTCATAAGTTCACAACACGTAACAGTCTTTTATGACTCTTTTGCGACCCATCATTCGGCTAAAACACGAGTTACAATAGAAAGGCCTAATTATGACTTTTCGCACCATTGGACCTGGCCATCACGGCATTTACCATGAGACTCTGAGCATAAATGATAAATATCTTGCCTTGATGACGAGTTTCTGTTGGGTACCTGGAGTTTGTCTTGGTCAATTGACGTGTCGCCTGCGAGTCTGTATGCGAGAGGCAGGAACAGTCTTGATTCAGGAACGCGCACTCAAGTGTCATGCGGAAATCATGTACGCGCACATGCGAGCTTGCGCATTGTCGCGGCGCTTTTCTCTGAGACGCACGGCGCAGATGGCATTCCAGGTGCAACTTGCATTGGGTGACGATGAATGGTAACGTTACCTGCCAGAGCCCACGTTGGCGATGTGCGCAGTTGCGGGCGGTTTTGAGTTCCACGCCAAGAGAATTGTTAAAAGAAGTCACCCAGACTACCAGAAGAGAATGTCGCAAGATGCGTTTAAGCTCGGAAGCAGCGTGTACCACCACTCTAAGAAGACGTGCTCCTGCTCTTCCTACGTTTCATAAGCGCCAGTAAGGATAAGGCGACCAACTTTATGAGCAAACAGACCGTCGAGAGAACGCATGTCTACAAAATCCGACCAGAGACCAGCAAGGTCGTCGATGTAGCAGATCCTCTTAGCGGCGACAGATACCTTACATGGACCAAAGAAAAGGAGATTGCCGGTGCTTACGAGGTGCCGTGGAAGCAGGTCATCGGTTGGCACGAAGGCACGCCGACCAAGGCCGTCGCGTAGATCCTGTCCGCGCGGGAGTTCATCATGGACAACAGCAAGGACCTCACGAGGGAGCGGGTCAACTACTTTGCGCTGCACCACACGCTTCATGTCGCGAAGCTGCTCCGGGGCGCGCTCGGCGGCGACGAGGCGAAGCTGGACATGCACGCGACCGCCAAGCAATCGGGGGGCTGCTGACAAGGTTGAGGAGAAGCCCAAGATGATCCGACTGTGAGCTGAATAGTCATTGTGTGGGTTTATTGAAGGGGGGGGACGCGATTCTTTTTTTTTCTTTTTTTCTTTTTTTTTAGTACAAAGTAGACGGCGATATGGATAGAATAAATAAACGTGGCAAAAGGCTATTAATACCTGACCCAAATATTCCAGACACTGCCCGCCCGGCATCCTCGGCCGAATGACGCTAAACTAGACTCTCCGCAAATTGTGTCGAGTCCCCTCTTCATGTAGTTGGTGGCTACATCTTTTCGGCGTATCGAGCAGAGTGCGTTCCCGTTTCCCGGCCCGAGACGTCGCACGCCGGCCATGGAGATTCAGTTTTCGATTCCGCTCGCCCGGTCCAAGAACGCGACACCGGGACGGTAAGTCCACCACCCTCCCGCCGACAACTGCCCGGCCATTTTTCTGCGTGAGGGCCAATTGGCGCGTCGGCTCGCCTGTGATAGAGACATTGCGCTGAGGCGTAGCACAAGCGATGCAAGTTTGGTCGACTAATATCTCTTATTCGTTGCACGACATTTAGGTCAACGGTTGCGGCCGAGTCTTTGAGCAGCGCAGCGGCCGCCTCCGCGCGCGCCGGTACGCATCGCTTCGCTCTCGAATCTCGCACCAGACACACTCGCCGAAGCTCGACCCGTGCGCGCACCGGCTGCGTGACATGTAAGCCCAAATTCGAATGCGTATTTTTGGGGATCTGAAAGTGGGAAGCTAACGTGGCCTGCACCAGGCAAGTAAGTTGTCTAGTGCAAGCGGGAGCGACGCGAGAGACGACGGTATTCGAAATTGCTTGAACAAAAGTCTCTGACCGACGGTAGAAAACGACATGTAAAATGCGACGAGACGCGGCCGGCGTGCCTGAACTGCATCAAATGGCGAGGCTACTGCGATTCGTACGCCGACGCGTCGGATGGCAAGGGCACCAGCGACGACAAGACAAAGCTTATACATACGAAAAAGGCGCCCTTGATATTGACGGAACCCCTCGTCAACACACTGCGATTTACGAGCCAAGATCAGCGACTATATTTCGACGAGTGGGCAGCCCTCTCGGTGACGTTTCTTAGCGGCGGTCTCAGCCACACCCGGTTATGGACGGCCACGATGCCTCAGCTGACGCTCGAGGAGCCGACCTTGAGATACGGCGCCATGGCGATCGGCGCGCTGCGCCGCGCGTGCGGACCCGACAACTCGCTGGCGGCCCTGACTCAGGACAACCGGCACTACCTCAACGCCGTGACGCTGTACTGCGAGGCGCTGCGGCTGCAGGCCAGGGCCTCGCCGACACAGGAGGGCCTGCGCACGGCGCTGCTGTCGTCGCTGCTCTTCATATGCTTCGAGTCGCAGCGCGGCAACATGCCCGCGGCGCTCAAGCACATCACCCACGGCTTCAGCATGCTCAACGAGCTGGCCGGGTGCACGCCCAGGGCTCCGGACCTGGTCCGCATCGCGCCCGCCCCGCCGGCCATGGTGCAGGAGATTCTCGACTGCTACAAGCCGCTCGAGCTGCAGTCGCGGTCGTTTATGGGCTCCTACAAGTCATTCTTCTTCAAGGGTGACAACAGGCAAGGCCCGCCGCCGCAGCAACGGCCGCAGCAACAGCCACGCATCATGTCACCGACATCGAGCCCGCAACGCCCTGCTGAAATGCAATCGCCACTGAGTGATCCTGGTACGCCTCAGAGCTGGCAGACTTTGCAGGGCCAGCCAATGGGAATGCTGAGTCCGCAGAGTCTAGACAGCCCTTTGACTCAGAACTCATCACCCGGCGCGCCGGGATCCTACACATCATCACCTTCCTCGGCACCGACCCCTCCTGGGCTTGGGCAGCAAATACCTGGCCAGTCTCCCGGTACGCCAGGTGCGGGGACACCGGCTGGAGGGCCTCCGCAGCGACCGCCCGCCATTGCGCCGTTTACAAAACACTCGCCATACTTTCGACCTAAGAGAACCTCCATCACGACACTACAAGAAATGCCACGAGAGTTCAAAGACATGGAGGAAACGCAAGGATACTGGGCGCTGGTGCAGAAGAACATGGTGCAGTACATGCCGCTGCTGACGGCCACGACTGCCCAGCTTGCTCTCGCCAAGGCCAGCTCCGAGGCCGAAGTCGAGGCCAAGCTGACGGCGATCCGCCAGAACCCCAGCATCTCCAACTTCATCGCCGACTGCCGGTACTGGATCCAGCGGTGGTCCGAAGCGTACGAGCCGCTGTACCAGGGCTTTCTGCGCAACGCGCACACCGACCCGGCGCCGTACCTGCATGCCATCAACCTGCGCATCGAGTACCTCATCCTCTACGTGTACACGACGGTGCCGCGGTACTCGGGGCTCATCACGGCGCGCGGCCTGACGCCGCAGTACCGCGAGATCACGGTCCTCGCCGAGACGCTGCTGCAAGCGCGCCCCAACTGCGGCTTCGCCATGGACTCTGGCTGGACGTGGCCGCTGTTCGTTGCTGCGTTTGGCTGCCGCGACGCGGGCGTGCGCGCCGACGCCGTGCGCATCCTCGGCGCGTACCCGATTCGCAACGCGCTCCGCGACAGCCGCGTGTATCGGGCCATTGCGCTGCGCAACGAGCAGATTGAGCGCGCGGTGGCGAGCGACGGCGACGGCGACGACGATGAGAACAAGCAGTGGGTGCGGCTGCGCCGGCGCGAGGTCCTGTTTGAGGATTTTGGCGCAAGTGTCGTGCTGCGCTCGGTGCAAAAGAATCCGCAGACGGGTGTGTGGGAGCCGGTCGAGGAGATTGCGGACTTTGTGGTCAGGTCGGACGGGCACTTGAACTGGCGGAGGCAGCCAATCTCGGACGCGACGTCGATACTGGGCGGTGTTTGCTGATACGGCGGTATTGGAAGTGGAGCACGAGGATGGTGATGATGATGATGATGATGACGATGACGATGATGAAGAATTTGTACATAATAGCATGGTATAGACAATGATGGGAACTGTATATATAAAGGAATCTGCTTTTCAAAGCATGAATATTATTAAAAAGCATCTGAAATTGAAGACAAAGTCGTCAAATCGTGGTACTTCTACAGCCTTGCTCTCGTGAGTACTTGGACCTGAAAATAAATCGTGACCAGACTAATACTCTGTTAATGATGGCGACTCCATAAAGAGAGCGAAAGTCATATGCAACATCCGGAATAGATTGTCTCGAGCTCTCTATTGTCGAACGTCTACATACTCGTAACTCCCCACCCTTGTCACCGAGATCACGATCGATGCTCTGGTCCCGTTGCCTGAGCTTCTGTAACTGCTAAATCACGGAAAATCAACTGTAAGATGTTCTGTCGTTTCCCAATTTGAGCCGCATTCGAGCCTGTTGTCGACTCTCTTGTAACGCTAAGCCATCCGCAGCCTTGCGTTGGTCGATGGGAGGGCACGCTGTTCACATTGGCCATATCACGCGCTTCAGAAGTGTCATATAACCCAAAATACCCAGCCAAATGCTTTCAAGAGTATCTTTAGCTTGGCAAAGAAACCTTGCGCTTTGAAAAGAAGAGCAAAAGTAGTCCTCCAGACTGCATTGTCTGCACTCGAGTTCATGAAATCACATAGCGCACGTTCAAACATCGAAGCGTGATTGGTTTAGTGGTAAAATTCTCCGTTGCCATCCGCAACGTCGGGGAGCCCTGGGTTCGATTCCCAGATCACGCATTGATAATTCTTTTGCCATTTTTCACGATTTACTTTTTGATCCGTCGCGCGATTATGCGACGGGTTGACTTTGATAGCGGCGGGGGGGCTTGGTGGGACGGTGGATGCTTTTTTGCCCTAGCTGAAAAATCCTTTTCTAGGACGTATGTAAGCTAATAACGTCAACCTCTTCATCGAAGCGTGATTGGTTTAGTGGTAAAATTCTCCGTTGCCATCAGCAACGTCGGGGAGCCCTGGGTTCGATTCCCAGATCACGCATCGCTTATTCTTTTGCTCTTTTGATGTGCTGCCCAATCACTTCTTTTTTGTCTTTTTTGCCGTCGCGAGGACCTCGTCCTGTGTCTACATAGAACTACGCGAAAAGTTGCGAGGGGCGGCTGGAGGCAGGCCTTATTTGCAGAATTTGTCTTCTTTAAAGATGAGCTGCAATTGGAGTAACTCATGGTCTTCCTTTGTGAGTTCTTCCTGGTTGTGGTCTGGCCTGAAGCGATCTGCGCTGTCGCCAGCTCTCGCGAGGCACCATACGCCCTGGTCAAGCGTCTCCTTGGATTGAGAGCCGTCTCGGTAACTATGAGCCAGACCGATATTCTCGACGCAATGCAGAGCGGAAGAGGTGCAAATATCTGTCTTGGCGATTTCTTCGTGGTCTGAAGCCTGGCAGAGTCTTGGTGGGCCTCGCAAAAGCTCGTGACGTACACCAGCAATAATCTGCAGGACGGGGTCGTGCTGGCGAGAAATGCGCGATGTAGCTGCTGACGCTGCGAGCGACATTGGCACGAGTAAGCTCCAAGTCCGTCGGGACTAGTGCCTGTTCAAAACTATGAGCTGGGCCAGAAAGCATTATCGAACCTTGGTGAACTCGAGTTGGCAGGATCTTCTAGAGTAGCAAAATCTCGCATTGTGGTAGTTGATGTGGTCTTTGACAGGGGGAACGGCAAGTCGCCAAACGGCATCCCATCCTTGGCCACGGATCCGGATAGCGTCCGAGGCTCAGTCGCTACTCTTTGCCCAGGGCCATGATGGAGCCAGTAACGTGGCCCAGCTTGGTCATTCGTTCGGCAGCCGCGACGCGGGGAGTTTCGACGCGCCAATGATCACAATGTTCGCAAGCCGTCCAAAGTTGGAGGGCAGCAGGACAGACGTCTCTAAGCCGGGATCGCTCAGGCGGTCCTCGCGTGGTTGCACTTGGTGATGGCTACAGACTAGCCTAGCAACAGAGTGACCCGGCAACCGAATGATGCACCGTCTGGTTCAGTCGGTGCCTGAGTCGATTAGGCGTTTCATTCTTTGTTCCTGCCAAGCAAGAAAGTAACAAGCCCGCAAACGCAGCACAAATCGCCACTACATTCAGCTAGTTACAAGGAAAGAGTCGTTTGCAAGGTCCGCTGGACAGACGCCAAAAGAAATGGCTGGCTGCTGTAAGTCAACCTTGCTCACATCGACGAGCTGTGGAAAAGGGCATTGACTGATATCATTTGATATCTACCTACGTAGTAAAATATCGAGTTCCAGCCCACCGGTACTAGACCAGAATACCTAGACCGTCGAGACAAACGCGTGTGATCGCACTTGTGATGTTTCCCATTGCAAACGGGCGTGCCAGCTGCCTGCCAGTTGACTTGTCGTCACAAGAGGAAGGTGCAAGCCAGGCCTCAGCTTCATAATCTGTTTTCTTGCCTTTCCCAACGCGTGCGCTGCTCGTTTCAGCGTCTCAACATAACCCGTCTCCTCAGCGCTGCTTCGAGCTTCATGATCTTTTTTTCTTTCCTTTCCCAACGCGTGCGCTGCTCGTTTCAGCGTTTCAACATAACCCGTCTCCTCAGCGCTGCTTCGAGTGCCTGGCTGGAACGAGGCTGTCGAGTGTTCTCGAAAGTTCTTCTCTTCGTTCAAATATTCTCGAAACCCTCGCCATCCGTGAACACGCTTTCACATCGGTGTGTCCAAAATGGCCGCACAATCTGGGGATGGAGCATTGGTAGGTACCCATCATCCTGGATTGGGAATGTTTAATGAACACTTATGGCAGCAATTACAAACCTTCCTTCTGCCCACTGGGGGCAGGAGTACTGGCCAAACGAGGCCACCAACAAATTTATTCACGAGCCCATCAACAAAGTGGCTTGAAGAGCCCGAGCTCCCTTCTCCAGAAGAGATCCTACGGTGTTCTCCGCCGCCTCTTCTTGCCATCGAGAATGATCAAATTGAATCAAAGGAAGTGTATCTCGAGAAACACTATCGCATGCAACGGTTCGAGGCTGTCGAGCCAACTCGGCTCGCGGTCACCGAGTTTCGACGAACTCCGTCAATGCTGGAAGGGGATTTGGCGTACATTTACACAAATGTGAGTGAAAAATGTATTAAAAGGTACAGAGTACTGACTTCTTAGGTTCAAATTCAGGGCGTCGTCTTGACCATCCACGGTGCTGCCGCCCGAGTCTCCTTTTCTACGGAAAGAGCTCTAGACGCACCAGTGGATTGGGCAAACTCTAAAAGGCTTCGTCAAGGCTCTCTTGTCGTTTTGTCACCTATCGAGGATGGCTTTCGGTCAAAATGTCTGGTTGCCACGGTCGCATACCGATTTCTTTTTGGTGGCCTTTGGCCAGATTTCGTGGCTGATCCTCCGGAGCCGGAAGAAACGCCTCCGCGAGTCGACTTATATATTTCGGACTGGTCTGAGTTTGACCCAAATATTAAGTACTATTTACTTGAAGCCAAAGACGGATATTTTGAGTCTTTTCGTCACACTATGACGGCCCTACAAGCGGCCGCATCTGAAATGTAAGTTACCTACCCGTATTGTGCCCCAGCTCCACGGGACCTTCATCTAACGACACGACACTAGATCTCTGATGGACAAATACCTTCTGTCAAACGACCTCAGTAAAGGAGTGGAGAACAAGCCAGTCAAAGCACGGCTTCGGACCGTCAATGCGCTTGACAAGTCGCAGGTTGCCGCATGCGAGGCAATCATCGGCCAACAGTTGTCAGTTGTGCAAGGCCCTCCCGGCACAGGCAAGACACATACGACTGTGGTAACAATCGAAGAGATATTAAGTCGATATCCCTACAAGCCACAAAAGCCAGTCATCGTCGCGGCTCAAAGTAATCACGCGGTAGATCAGTTACTCGAGCGTTGCCTCAAAAGGGACCTAGCTGTCGGTCGTCTAGGCGGCCGCACAGTCTCAGGCACTATTGAAGAACATTCTCTGTTCAAGATTCGAGAAAGGTCTAGAGGAACCATCACCGGTATCGGATTATCACCAGCCGCCTACCAAGATTTCGAAACCGCACGTCAAGTGCTCGAGCTCCAACTAAAAGGAGCCTTTCAGGGTCAGCAGAATTACGATATAAAATCGTTTAGGGATGCGAAGATCATCACCCCAGAGCAATTTGACTCTTTAGAAAACGACTGGGTAACGTCGGAGGAAAGCGATCCCCTTCTATCATGGCTAGGATGGAAATCATTTATCACCTCCCCTGCCAACACGCCTCACTCTGCGCAGAAATGGAAGACCAAGGCCGGAATCGATAGCGAAGAAGAAGACCATTGCAAGCGTCGGTTGCCAGACCCAGACAAGCCAATTGGTCCATATATCTCATTTACGAGCAAAGGCCCTGAGCCTCCAGTCTCCCGTTGCAGAAGCTTACTCCGCAACAAAGACTTATACAAAGTCAAGGCGCAACATCGCGAAGATGTGTTCAATTACATGTGCCTTACACTAGCTCAACAAAAACGCACGAAACTTCAAGAATCATTTTTGAAGTTCAGAGACGCCTGCCATCGCCTTCTAAGAAGCAGGATAGACCGTGATCATCGTGTTATTACGAAGACTCACATCGAGATTATCGGTTGCACCATTACCGGCTTATCTAAATACCGCAGACTACTTCAAACTATTAACCCCGACATTCTGATAATTGACGAAGCATCAGAAGCTATTGAAGGAAGCATTAGCGCTGCTCTGCTACCGTCACTTAAGCATCTTGCCTTGGTCGGTGATCACCAACAACTGACACCGCGCCCTATCACCACTATCCTTACAGAACCTGTCTTTGCCCTGCAGGTATCTTTGTTTGAGCGATTGGTCACCCAAAACTCCATGCCATGTCAAGTTCTTAAGATACAACGGCGAATGATCCCTGAGATTCGACAGCTCGTTAATCTCTTTTATCCAGGGCTTAGAGACCACAGTAGCGTTCTAAAACGTGAAGCAATCAACGGTATTGGGCTGCCTCTCTGGTGGTTCGATCATGCCTGGTCTGAGCAAACTGGTTCTGGTGCTTCTGGTCACAGCATAGCCAACAACGATGAAGCTGACATGATTATCGGGTTCACAAAACATCTAATCAGCTGTGGCACGCCGGTGGAAAAGGTCACAATTTTATCCTTTTATACTGCACAGCAGGAACTCATCAACGCAAAGCTAGAAGCCCAGAATATAGGGCTAGCCATTTGCAAAACTGTTGATAGCTTTCAAGGCTGCGAAAACGATGTGATAATTCTTTCGATTGTTCGCAGTCCGCACCCGGGGCGAAGACCAACAGCTGGATTCGTTGAAAATATCCACAGAGCTACGGTGGCACTCAGCCGAGCGCGAAATGCCTTTTACATCTTTGGCAATGCGACCAACCTCCAGGGCAGCGCGACATGGGCCCCTATTCTTGACATGATGGCTTCTCGGAGGGGCTCGTACCTGCCCCTAGTGTGCCCGATCCACCAGAGGACATATTTTGTCCGGAGTCCAGAAGGATGGGAAGGCTTGGGGGAGGCTTGCTGCCCATGCGATAATCATGGAAGACAAGAATGCCAAATGAGCATGATACCGGGCTGCATAGTCAAGAAACCAGTCAAGACGCGAGTCGAGACACCGGACAAAACAACAAGCCAAGATATGGCTCCAGAAGAGAATCCGGAAAGAAAGACAATCAGCGACAAAAAGCCAGGCAAAAGACAAAGAGGCAAGAAAGGCAACGCTTCATCCGTCGTGGTGAAAACATGTTCAATGACAAAGCTTGAAAAGACAGCGCTCGACCGGGTTCAAAGCGCGTGGCTATCGCACGGGCTCCCGTCTTCGAAGTCCACCGACAATACCTCTTCTGAGGGCCGAAGCCAGGATGACAGTGTTTATAGTAGCGGTACTGTCTATAGTAGCGACTACATGATTGAAGTTGGCTATGATGCGTGTATTGAAGAGTTTGAAGAGTTGGCGATTCAGGCACGAGCAGAAAAATTAAGTAGCTCTAGTCAGGCGGCTGATGGGGCACAGGAAAATGCGGTGGAGATTGGTGAAGATCTGATTGACTTCAGCTAGACGTGGCGTGGGCGGCTACCATTACAAGACTACAATAGGTGCTAGATTTAGGACGTTTGCTTTTGATTCGTCCAATGCAGCACTACTTTCCAGTGCATTAGAACAAAGACGCTTGGGGCTTAGGATGACCACGGCGTCACGGCCTGAGAGAACATCTTCAAGCTGCCCTCCGATTGCGGGGGCGGGTCCCGTGTCCGGCCGCACCCCGATCTACTGTCATGAATTTCTAGCAGATGGGTGGTGCAAAATATACAGCAGTGTTCCACCGGCCTTCTAGCTCAAAGCACAGCTGCTGGAGCTTTCGACTGGACTCGCAATGCATACGCGTGGGGTGACGCGCATCCCGTCTGTCCGACGCCGGACGACTGCATCTTGCAGTCTCGGAACCCCTCTTTGTATGCATAGGTGGGAAGGCTTACCAGCTGCCCCGTCTTGCTCAGCCGCTTCTCTCCTCAAATTTTCTTCCTTTTTCTCTCAATTGCTTTCCACCTCCCTAATAATACTCACACTGGTTAACACACGCACGGATTCGATTGTCCACTTACAACACCGCAGACATGGCCACAGCTGCCCCCACCGTCCATACTATGCCGGGTACCACGAACCTACCGCTAGCCAGCTTTCCCTCGGCGGCGGCCACCAAGCACCTCGACCCTCTCAAGACGGCTGAGGCCTTTTGCTCCGCGTTCAACACGCACCTCGCCTCGGGCGACACGGAGTCGCTGGCCGGGCTATTTCTGGAGAATGGCTACTGGCGGGACCATCTCGCGCTGACGTGGGAGTTTCGCACGGTACAGTCGCCCGGCAAAATTGCGGGGTTCCTGGCGGACGCGGCCTCTTCGCGGGACGGCATGCGACTGGAGTCTGTGGCGCTGGATGCGACGACGGCGACGCGCAAGCCGGCGGTGGTCAAGGTGGATGCGGAGGGCGCGTCGGACGTGGTGCAGTTCTTCATCACGTTTGAGACAAAGGTGGGATTCGGCGCGGGTACGGTGAGGCTGGCGGCGGATGGGCAGGGGTGGAAGGTGTACACGCTCAGTACTATCTTGCAGGGGCTCAAGGGGTTCGAGGAGCCGGTGTATGGGAGGAGGCCGGCGGGGGTGACGCATGGACAACAGCTGGGGAGGAAGAATTGGAAGGAGAGAAGAGAGGCTGAGGAGAATTACACGGATGGGAGTGAGCCGCTGGTCCTGATTGTCGGTATGTATTCCATGTATGAGGGAGAGACTTGAGATTGTGGTAATGCCCGACGTCGAGCGAAGCGAGGGAAAAAAAGAAAAAAGAAGGCTAATGTGCTTATATAGGTGCCGGCCAAGCTGGTCTGACGGCTGCCGTCCGTCTCAAGATGCTGGGCATCAACGCCCTCATTGTCGACCGCAACCAGCGTATAGGCGACAACTGGCGCAGTCGGTACGATCAGCTGGTTCTGCACGACCCTGTCTGGTACGATCACATGCCGTATATGCCGTTTCCGCCCAACTGGCCCATCTTTACACCGAAAGATAAGCTGGCTGGATGGTTTGAGTCGTATGCCCAGACCATGGAGCTCAATGTGTGGATGACGACGGAGCTCTCGCGCACAGCATGGGACGAGGCGACAAAGACATGGACCGTGGAGCTGCAGCGCAAGAAACCAGATGGGAGCAGCGAGACGCGGACGTTTCGACCAAAGCACATCATCCAGGCGACGGGCCACTCGGGGAAGAAGAACCTACCGGAGATTAAGGGCATGGAGAGCTTTCAGGGCCATTTGCTCTGCCACTCGTCGGAGTTCCCGGGTGCAAGAAAAGACGGCACCGGCAAGGGGAAGAAGGCGATTGTGGTGGGCTGCTGCAATTCCGGACACGACATTTCACACGACTATTACGAGAGCGGCTACGACGTCACCATGGTGCAGCGGTCCAGCACAAACGTAGTCTCGTCAAAGGCAATCACCGACATTGCGTTGAAGGGCCTCTTTGACGAAACATCGCCGCCGGTCGACGATGCGGACCTGATCCTGCACGGGATGCCCAACGCCCTTCTCAAAGCCGTGCAGGTGCAAGTCTGCGCACTTCAACGCGCTCACGACAAGCCCATCCTCGACGGTCTGACCTCTGCGGGCTTCGAGCTCGATAATGGGCCTGACGGGTCCGGCCTATTCTTCAAGTATTTCCAGCGCGGCGGCGGATATTACATTGACGTGGGCGCGTCGCAGCTCATTGCGGACGGCAAGATTCGCATCAAGCAAGGGACCGAGGTTGCCGAGGTGCTGCCGCACGGGCTGCGGTTCGCGGACGGGTCGGAGTTGGAGGCGGATGAGATTGTGTTTGCGACGGGCTATCAGAATATGCGGTCGCAGGCGAGGGACATGTACGGGGAGGAGCTTGGTGAGAGAGTCAAGGATGTGTGGGGGTTGAATGACGAGGGCGAGTGGCGGACAATGTGGGGGAATAGCGGCCATCCGGGATTCTGGTTCCATGGGGGCAATATGGCGCTGTGTAGGTATTTTTCGAGGTTGTTGGCGCTGCAGATTAAGGGGATTGAGGCTGGGCTGTACAAGCATGGCGAGAAATGATTCTTCTTTTTTTTTTAGCTCGCTTCGCTCGATGTGGGGGGGGCGAGATGCGATATTGATAAAAGTTTCATGGAAAAGGACTTTGGAGACATGACAATGTTTGGGGGTTGTAAGATGTTGATGGTGGTGACTAGTCGCCTAGGGGGGTTGCAATTGAAGACGGTAAATCAAGCCACGACCAACAACGACAGGGAGATTCAGAAGTTTTTTTTTCTGCCGGCGATACCGCTCAGGACGCTCCCGTGCTTCGATTGCCAAGACGATGGTGCATCGTCAAACCACTGATTAAGCGGAAACGCAGCGACTTGCCGGGTTCCGAACTGGTGACGGACGGGCGGGGAGACGGCGACGAGGGCGGAAATAAAGAATAATTCGGGGAAGATGATGACGATGATGAGGACTGCAAGCGGCAACAGACGTGGAGGAGAACCAAGTTATCATTTTAACCCATGTAATACACATCACCAATGACTCGTGAGATATCACCGTGACTCTATCTATGCCCTGGTATTCCCCGCAATGACACCAAATTTACGGATACTTGTTTTTTTTTTCTCAACGGCGTGATTATTCTATTGCTTTTGAAATGGCCGTATTTCGTTGGCCTTGTCAGAAGAACGAGCCTTTTCTCATAATTGAATCCATATCGTCTGCTCATTAACGCATCAATATGCGCGCGCTGGCGAATCACATTGTCCTGTTTCGCGCCCGTTTGCTGCCGGTCGATGCGGTCGCCATCTATATTAGCGTCGATGCCGATTTTTCCTACTTTTTTTTTCTTTGCGTTTTTCACACAAAATCATCCGTTATTATGTACTTTGCGTGTGTGTAATTGTTGCATTCGGTTGCCCATGCAGGTCATATCACAGAAGCACCCAGCCACTCCCACCAACCAACCACTCAACTAATCACTTCAGAGGCCCCCCCCCCCCTCCCCCAGTAAGAGAAACGAAATCGTCAGGGTCGTGGGCGCTTAAAATCAACGTCGGCAGCCAATCATGATGCACACCTCGACTGAGATGCATCAGACTCGATCCACTGTGGCTACCGACCTCGCCCACTAGGAAGCCTTGCTCCCGTCCAACCATGATCAAGTATCCATCGTGAATCCAGCCACTAAGGCCGAATAGCTGCATCCTGCATCCTTCATCACCTTCTCACCTCACATCTCTCTGCCTCCCCAACTCGTCGCCCGTTTCCCCCCCCCCACCGCCCAGCCGATCCTGTGGCTTGCCCTCCCAAATCCCCCGGCGGCTAGTTCCCTTTCTTTACTGGTCCGAATCTCTATCCCCCCTCCTTCGGCCCGCACCCACCCCCCCTCTCCCCTGCGATGTGTACCACGCAGTCACTAGCAACTAGGTAGTAATTCAATGCGCAGAGACTCATAAGAAAAAGGGCCGCCCGGCCTCCTCCTCTTCTCCTCCTCCGATTTTTTTGGGGTCTGTGATTTTTTGTTTTCTCGTGTCTCGTCCCGCCATCATTCATGCGTGAAACGCCTTGGCCCCGACCTACTACTGCTTTTTCCATCTCTCAGCCTCGCTCGTCCTTATTGCAGCTGACTATCTAGCGACAAGCCTTCTGGCGACAAGCCTTCTCTCAGCGCAAGCTTCGACAAAAATTCGTTTCAATCTGGCCGGCCCAGGTTGCTGCAGCAGCTCTTGAGCCTCGTTTTTCTTGTCACTTTGCGCCATCTCATAATAAACCTCACGACAATTCCCGCTTCCCATCATGAAGCTCAATCTTCTCATTAGCCTCGCCCTCGCTGGCCTCACCACCGCACACACCGTCATCACTTATCCCGGCTGGCGCGGCAATAACCTCATTACCAACGAGACATATCCCTATGGAATGCAATGGATGTATCCATGTAAGCTTCTATCCTCTATCTTATTTTTTTCCTCGCTTCGCTCGACGTTGGGCCTGAATCAATCCATTACTTCGTCCTCGCTTCCGCTTCGTCCTCATCCATCGCTGACCATCTTCTTTCCTAATTACAGGCGGCGGCACGGGAGTCACCAAGAACCGCACCTACTGGCCCATTGGCGGCGGCACCATCGCCTTCCAGCCCGGCTGGTTCCGCGGCCACCTCACCGCGTTCCTTCAGGTCAATCTTGGCTTCGGCTCCGACCCCAGCGCCAACATTCACGGCGGCCCTCCCAACATGAGCAACCCCATGGTCCATCCCTTCCAGATTCTGGGTCCGACCAACAATCCCTACCCCGGCACCGTCTGCCTCACCCAGGTTCCGTTGCCCGTCGGCGCAAACGTCAAGCCCGGCGACGAGGCCACCATCCAGATTGTCGAGACCGCCCAGCACGGCGCTGCCCTCTACTCGGTAAGTCGCCTCCGCCTTTAGCTCCCAGATTTGTCCTGCAAGGGACAATCATGGGGAATAACACACAGAGAATTGGAAGAAGAAAAAAGACTGACCGGAACAGTGCGTCGACATCATCTTTGTTGAACAAGGCGACCACCGCATCGCTCCCGTCAACGAGTCCAACTGCTACAACTCAACCGACATTGGCTTCGCCGACATCTACTCCATCACCAGGAAAGAGTCGGGCTCCGACAATTACACCAACGTCTCCGCCGCCGAGCGTACCCTCCACTCTGTAGGCTGGGCTGGCTGGACGCCCATCCTGCTTGCCGCTGCCGCCCTGCTGGTGCTGTAAACTCCTCCCTGCTTATCCTTTCATGGTGTTTTGGGCGTCTGGGCAAAATTCTTCATGGGTCTTTCGGCTGCTTCACGACACGACATGACAGCTTCCTTAATAGCTAGCATTGTTTTCCATATACCAATCATTTCATGCATGAATCATGTCTCTTCTATTGTGCCTCCTGACCCCATGCTACTTTTATCAATACAGCGCACCGCGCGAGCACATGGCTCAAGCAACCAGTTTCTTGCACTCAACCGCCAACGTCTTGACCCGATCCTCAGACGCCTTGCCCGCTGCCTCATTGATCCATCCGCTAATGCCCGGTACGGCCGTCGCATCTTGCCTGGACGTAGCCGCCACGGTGCCCAACGCAACCAGTCCGCGGTACAGCACCTCCGAGTCACTCTGTCCCTTGAGCAGCGCTCCAATTACCTGCAGCAGGCGCCTCTTCTCCTTGGGCGACAGCAGCTTCTCCTTGTTGACCAAGACCGACAGGTTTATAGCCACCGTTGTCGCGGCAATCAGGAGATTGCGGTTGTGCGGCCCAATGACGGCACCGCCCTGGATGCCCGTCACGCGCTCCAAGAACGACAGCACCGTGTCCACGCGCGTATTGGCTAGACTGCGCCCGTCGGCAGTGCTAAAAAGGTTAGCGAGCGTGCGTGCGCCCATCATTGTTGCGTTTTCATTGGGAGTCTCGCCATTGGGAAGCGACGCAGTAATGGCCAGGTCCACTATACTGCCATATGCATCGTCCTTGTATTTGGCGACCGTGTGGAAGCGAGCCACGCATCGAAGCAGGTCCAGACCAGCAAGACGATCGCCATATGGCCACTGCGTGATGACTTTGACAAGAGACGGCAGAGCGTCTGCGGGGATGGAGCTGGAAGATTCAAGAGCCGTGCGGATCGCATGCAGTGACGATTCCTCCCCAGGGTTGAGAGCAGCGTCTTTTCGGCCGCTAGAAATCATAGTCTTGTTGACACTCGAGATTTTGTTGAAAATGACTGTAATTGTTAGTAAAATCCTACGAAACGGGTAAAAGTCCACTGACCCTCATATTTGGCGGCAGAAATGTTGAGATATTCCTTTTGCGGCAATAGAGCAGGTTGCTGTGCATCGTCGCCTGGACGGTATCTCGACTCTGTCCCGTGCGGGTCAGGACCACCACTCTGCGCCGTTTGGCCCAGCGTGGCACCCTTTGTGTTTTCCGTAATGAAATTTGCCACATTGTCCAGATACGTAAGGGGCAGCTCATTGTCATTCAAAAATTTCGTGGCTCGTTCGTAGGGGTTTTCGGAAAGGTTGTAAGGCAGCTTCAGCGGTGGCTTGCCATCCTCAATGTCCACATCAAACACATAGTCATACGACTTGCCTTGATATTCTACCTTTTTGCCCGTGCTGCCAACCGCATCCACCACTGTGCCGACATTAATCCATTGCTGCTGGCTCATCGACCAGGTGTGCGCTGTTACGTTGCCATTGTCTTCCTTGATCATCTGTACTTGGCCCTCTTTGGTACCCGACTTGGACTGCAAGAATTCGGGCCCGGGTAGCTTTTCTTTGTTGATGCCGCCTACCTGCTGCTGGGGGATCGAGGATGCTTTGACAGACTCTTCGAATTCTTTCAGCGTTTCCTTGTCGGCAACACGGGCGGGGGTGCGTGTAAAGACGCGGGCGACACCGTCACTGGCACCAGACACAATGTCGCCAGTCTCCGGGTGGGCGGCCACAGTCCAGACTGAAATGGCAGGATGCGTAATTGTTTGCGTGCACTCGAGGCCCTTCCATACGCGTACTGTGCGGTCCTCTCCTGAGCTGACCAGCTCGCCCGTGGGCAGGCTGGCCAGCGAATAGACAAAGCTCTCGTGGCCGTGGAGCTCGCCAATCTGCTGGCCATTGAGCTTCCACAATCTGATTGTACCATCGTTGCTCGCGCTCGCAACATCGGCGCCGCTCGGGTGTGTCGGCGACAGGCGGCATAATGCGCGCACCACATCGGGCGTGTATATTGTCGTTGAAGCGTCCACCTCGCCACCCTTACCCTTGGTCAGGTCAAACACGCGAATGTTCTTGTCGGCGCAGCCCGTTACCACAGTCTTCTCGTCCAGTGCAAGCACGGCCCACACTGCCATGCCGTCATGCCCGCTCAGCGTCAGCTCGGTATCCCATTTGCTCAGGTTCCAGACCCGCGCCTGGCCGTCCCAGCCGCCTGACACTAGAAACTTGCCGTTGGAGGCAACGTCAAGCGCGCAGACATTGTGGGCGTGGCCGATGAGCAGCCGCTCTGCGTGGTCGGTCGGCTGCTGCCGGGGGCTCTTGACTTCGATGATGGTGTCTTTGCCGCCCGAGATGACCAGGCCATCGGGGTGCTCAGCGTTTGGCGGATAGAAAGCAACAGTGTTTACGTATTCGGAGCCGCGACTCAGTAGGAAGCCGTCGAACGAGGCCTTTTCGCCTTGAGAACGACGCCAGAGTCGGACGCTGCAGTCGCGCGAGGCGGTGATGACAGTGTTGGGGGAGGCAAAGGCCGCGGCGCGTACCTATGAAAACTATTAGCGGATGCGGAGATGACGATGGAGGGGCATCGTACGTCGGCTTCGTGGCCTACAAGCTGCGCGGAAAGTCTGAAATCGACCATATTGGCTGTGCTCGAAAAGAATCGAAAAGAAGAGAGATGGCAAGCCGCAACAGTTGCGCAATTAAAGGGAATGACGGAGGTGACACAGTGACGTTGACAAATGCCTAGAGCCAGAGGTGGAGGGCCGTGGAACCAGGTGGATGACAACCGAGCTTGTGTGGGGATGGTGTCGCGACTGCCCCTCACCGAAGCTTCAAACAAAGCAACACTGAAGCGTTCGAATACGACAAGGTATGTTCACAATGCGGTAGCTATGGCATGTTTTGGCGTTATCGAACTTTTGTATTGAGTGTGCCGACAAAAATCAGATCCCGCCCGACCAGCAACAATCGTCACATCAACAATCATCGCATCCATCCACCTTCGCCACCCCTGTCTGGTCTTGCTGCGCTGCCCGTTCTATTCGCAACGAAGCGTGCACAGTGCCCAAAGGTGGGATCTAGACCATGTAGCCGGGGTTTCTGCGATACAACAAGGCTGACTTACTTTTCGTGATGCAAGCCACCGCAGACTACAGTTTCGTGGCGCAAAACTCAATTTATCCATCTTGAACATTGCTTGTTGCGCTTCGCTATTAATACATGCCTTCTCCCACCTTTCCAACGACTTACAACCACACAGAACGAATCGCACAGTGACATCTTCTCAGTACACTGCAGGAATTTCTTGCTCAACAATTACTCTTTCACGACATCCGACGGAGCAAAAAGCCGACTTGTAAAAACATCCAGAATCCATCATCTGGGAACGACCAAAATGGCTACCCAAAGCAACTTCGTGAAAACATCCATCATTATGATATCCGACACACACGGCATGACACTCGAAGGACGAGTTCCCGAGCAGGCTGCAGACGTGTGCATTCATGCGGGTGATTTGACCGAAGAGTCAAGATTGGAAGAGTTTTATTCCGTGATCACGCTGCTTCGGACGATAAAGGCACCATTGAAGCTTGTCATTGCCGGAAACCATGATTTTACACTTGATACACCACTGTTCCGGAACAAGATTGAAGCGGTCCAGCCACCGCTCGAGCCCGAGTTGGTGCACAAGTTTTACGGAGAATATGAGGAAGCCAAACAGCTCCTCGTCAACGCCAAGGAACATGGGATCTACCTGTTGAACGAGGGAACGCATGACTTTGAACTACAAAATGGCGCTAGACTACGAGTCTACGCTAGCCCATACACCCCATCTTTTGGTGATTGGGGGTTTCAATATCACCCGGATCAGGGCCATGACTTTGCCATTCAAGATGGGACGAATATTGTCATTACTCACGGGCCTCCGCGAGGCATCTTGGACCGCACCAACTCTCAACAACGGGCCGGATGCCCAGACCTTTTTGCAGCAGTCGCAAAAGCAAAGCCACAAATGCATTGCTTTGGCCATATTCACGAAGGCTGGGGTGCTAAAAGGGTTGCTTGGAGAAGTAAAATGAGCGAAAGGCCGTCTTTCCTCACAGACATTGATAATTCAGCCTCGCATCTCATTGAACAGTTGAGCACACTTTACGAGAACAAACTCGACGGACCTGAAGAAGTGCTTCAAAAGAAACAAAAATTGGAAAGCTATATATCGCAGAAGCACTGCAGCGCAGAGTTCACTGAGAGCGATCTCGGCAAGACCTTGTTTGTCAATGCAGCCATCAAAGGTGGTTTTTTGGATGAACATCTTCAGCTGCCCTGGGTCGTGGATATTACGTTGCCGCGGGCATCAAGTGCAACAAAGGCAACAACAGAAACAAAAGTAACGGCAGAAGCAACAGCAGCAACAGCAGCAACAGCAGCAACAGCAGCAACAGCAGCAACGACAGAAACTGAAGATGGGTCACAGAATGGGCAAAATCAGTTGACAGAGTCTACGAGGAAGCGTGCCTTGGAAAAAGATGGAGAAGATGCGCATAGCCTTTCTGTAGTGCAAAGGCGAAAGATTAGTACAATTGAATGACCTCTCATTACATATTTCAAGCAATAGCTCGCCGCTCAACCCGCCAATTACCTAGACCTTGGCGACGGTTCTGATATACACACTAAGACGGCGAGATACGGCTTCTCCCTATTCCACTATAACCAGCTGCTAGACTAAGGATTCGGAAAGCTGGGACGGCGAGATGTATGGACAATGGATGAGAGGAAATGGATTGATACAGCTCGCCCAGGTGACTTTACGGGGGCCAAAAGCGGCGGAATAATGCAGCTTGATTACAAGTCCGCTACAGATGGGCGACAGGTAGTAATAAGGTACTTCAGATGCGCTACAGACTTAAGTAGCCAGTTAATTAACAGTAAGTTAACTAACAGTTGGTCAATCAACGATCAGTTAGTTAATAGTTATTTAATTTATATTCAGTCGATAAATAGCTAGTTAATTAAAACCGAGGTCGACGAATGAATGCATGGCCGTCGACTACGTGTCGAGCTTCGTCAACATGCGCCAGCCTGTCACCTGGCCGCTGCCCAACCACGGCGACAGCGTCACCGTCTCCATGGCATTAATAAGCGAATGCTGATTGACCAGCTGCTGATTAACTGCAAAGGACCTGCAATTAGGCTGCATTGTTCTGCATTGTTCTGCCTCCTTCTGCCGCCTTCGGCACCTTCGACGCCTTCGACGCCTTCGACGCCTTCCGGCTTGACCTCTGGCATGACCTCTGGCTTGACCTCTGGCTTGACCTCTGGCTTGACCTCTGGCTTGACCTCTAACACCCTGGCTTCGGATGCCCCAACTACCCTGAACAGTAATTCATGCCCTTCGAACGAGGCGTTCGAATTCTTTGTCATTCGAAAAACTTTTGTAAGGGCCGGCTTGAACAAAGTTTAAATGTTTAAATGTTTAAACTTAAGCTTCGTTTCTTTTTCTTTTTCCGCAAAAGCTTAAGTTCAGTGATTTTCCACAGATACCTGCCACTGGGGCCGACTTCATAAGAATGGAAGTTTAAGAGGGGTGGCGTTTGCAAGCGAGCGGCGTTTGCAAGCCAGTGTCAGCGCAATATTGTGGCATAAAGCGGCTTGGATAAAGTTTGAATAACAAAAACTCAAACCTTACTTCTCTTTTTTTACAAAAGATTAATTTCAGTGATTTCATTTATCAGAATGGCCTTCCCGCGCAAACCCGTGGGAGCGCTTTTTGGCGTTGATATCGATTCTAATAAACTGCATAACATCGAAAGCGAAACACCTCCTAGTCCTGCCAAAAGAGCAAAAATGTTTGCTCAATTTCGAGACTCCGTCAAGTCAAAGTGGCATGCGATGGATAATGTTTCCATGACTGTGCGTGCCGACGATATTTACAGAATATACTCGACCGGCCAAGATCCTGCGACCCTGTTCAAGAAGGCAATCTCTTACATGGACAGCGTCAGAGCAATCTCGCGAGAGCAAGAAACCTCAGTTGACGAAGAGGTTGAGAATATGATGATGCACGCCATCTTTGGAAGCAACAGAATCGAAAATGCCGGCCTCGATCTCGACATCACTATACACCTCTGCCGCAAGATCTTGCGCGGCGAAGACGTGGGAGAAATCACCGAGCGAACGCCAGAATATCTCGACAAGCTGGCAGAGCTTTATCGGATGGATTCGAACCTGAAGCAGCAATCTCTGCAGCATGTGCTCAGAGGCCGTCAGGAAATTGTTCAACACGTCAAGGCCTTTCAACACCTCATTCACCACTTCGCCGTCGACAAAGAGGACATGACCGAAGAGCTCATCAAAAAAACGCACGCAATCCTTTGTAAAGGTGTCCCGGTTATTCACAGACAAGGCCCAGAGACACCTTCTCAAGATTACGCCGGCAAGTATCGCAAGGTGGTTGTCGGCGCCGGCAACTCCAACTTTGTCGTTCCTCAGCACGTCCCGTCGCAAATGGCTAAACTTTGCGCCGATCTAAAGCAAGAAATTATTAAAGCCGAGGCAGACAAGTCGATCGACCCATTTTCTCTTGCTTCAAAGTACTCGCTGGAGTTTGTGCAGATCCATCCATTCCTGGACGGTAACGGCCGCATGTGCAGAATGATTCTCAACGTTATTCTTTTCCGGTTCACGGGTATCTTTGTCGCCATTGGAGAGCGCGAGGCCGACAGGGAGGAGTACATGAGCATCAAGAAGAGATCGTCGGAAACAATGGAAGGGCATGGAGAGTATGCTACCTTTGTGCTGGACAAGGGGATGAGAAACTTCAGAAAGCTTAAGCAAAAGCTGCATGGAAAACGCGCTCAAAACTGCTGACGGGCACGACGTCCGCCAACTCAGCCAGTGGTGCCCCTCTTCGTCAGCCACCTCCTCCAGGTAGTTTCCTCTCTTCCTCTTCCCTTCACATCACCTTGGTTCTTTTGCTGACTGCTCCTGGCAGACTCGTAATGCCGTCATCTCTGCTTGCTCTCGCTCTTCGATTCGCCACATGCAACGCCGGAACACACGGTGCGCAGCTTCAACTGCAGCGACCCCATCTGGGGTCTAATCCACTAAGACTGCCAGCACATGTCCGACATTGGCTTCGGCTCCATGGGCAAGAACAGCGACGGCGTCATCTAGATCGGCGACGACGGCCACACAACCTTTACCTTTACCAACCGCACCAGTTAATCAACAGCAGTTAATCATCCGCCGCTAGTTAGCAAGCAGCCAGTTAAACAGTAATTGAAAAGTAGCTACTGATTAACTAGGTACCTAGCTACTAGCATCTCCGACATTAATAATAACGCCATGGAGACGGTGACGCTGTCGCTGTGGCTAGGCAGTGACCAGGTGACGGGTGCAGGTTGACGAAGCTCGACACGTAGTTGGCGGTGTGCAGCCAGACGACGACTGTGATGGATTCGTCGGCCTCGGCGCGGTTGGTAAAGGTAAATGTTGGTTTATCAACGATATTCGTGTTGTTGATTGATTGTTATCCTACAAGTCAGTGTGTGTGGAGGCCACACACAAGATGTCGTAGTAAAAATGTGGACCCACACCTTCATTGATGCGAATCAGGCCCTATATACGTTCATACAAGAGCTATCATACAAATTAAAAGTGGGGCTTTCCTGGCTCCTAGCCAATGAGAATTTAGTGCCTCGATAGGTAGGCACAACATCCCTACTTGGCCGGCCGATGTGGCCGCTCTTGTTAGTTTGGCGGCTGTGCCGGCGCCGACCACTATCTTGCCTACACATTCAAAGCGCCATCACCTTGTCGTAGCGCTGCCACACGACCACGCATCCCGTTTTCTAGCTCATCTGTGGTTATATTATTGGTGATTGGCAGTCTATCTCTCCAACCTCCCCGTTCCCTGGTGATGGTCGCATCCCTATGATGGCGGCGTCGGGTAGTTTAGCAAGGTCGTCATGCTTCATACTGTCAACAACCCTTCACCCGTTCAGACCTGTCACCTTGCGCCTGTCTCAAAGAATGCCGGCATGGGGAAAACTCGCCATCCCCTTTCGGAGTCTCCATCGCGAGGCGGCCGCTCCTGAGAAACCACGGTCTTTTCCTACCAGCGGCTTCAAAACTATTGACCAAGATGTCAAGGTAGAGGAGGAAGAAATACCAGACTACGTTGCTGAACGCTTCTATCCCGTGCGTCTTGGAGAAGTCATCCGTGACCAGTATCAGACTGTGGTCAAGTTAGGATTCGGCAGCTCATCGACAATCTGGTTGGCTCGGGATCTCAAGTACGTATACATACATTACTTTGTTGAGTCGGAGGGCTTCTGACAGGAACTATCTCAGGAACCATCGCTATGTCTCGCTCAAGTTCTATGTCCACACATCGCGTTTTCAGCGCGAGCTTGGGCTCTACAACGAAATGACCAAATTACTTGCAAAGACAGCAAATCCAGGCCGGAACAACATTCGGCATCTTCTTGACTCATTTGAGATCGATGGCCCTTGCGGCAAGCACGTTGTTCTTGCCTTCGAACCTGCCCAGATGAGTCTGCGCGACATGAAGCTCGTCTTCCAAAAAGACGGCGGGTTCGATGAGATGTTTGTCAGAGGGGCCATACAGGAACTTCTCAAGGCTCTGGACCTCCTTCATAGTGAGGCTCATATTGTTCACACAGGTGACCACTCTCCTTCACTCACGCTCTCCAATACTTCATAGCCTATGCTCACTCCCCGAAGACATTCATCCCGGAAACTTACTTCTGGGTCTGGACGATGACTCCGCGTTGCGTCCTCTCGAAGACCGGCAATTTACGTCTCCGGTATCCCGAAAGGAAGTTGCAGGCGACAGAACCATCTACTTGTCTCAGCTGATGCGTCCGAAGCCTGGGCCCATGTTGCTCTCTGACTTTGGTGAAGCACGGTCTGGCCCTGGCCACCATGCTGGGGATATCATGCCTATCCAATATCGCACTCCTGAGGTCATCATGTGCTTGCAGTGGAGCTACGCCGTCGATATATGGAGTGTAGGTCTAACAGTATGTGTCCTCCATGCTGTCTTGTCGAATATCTACTTACTCGACGTTCCTGAGCGTTAGGCGTGGGATCTTTTAGGACCAAAGAATCTTTTCACTGCAGAAGATGAAGATGGGGAGATGTACGATGCTGCGCACCTTGCCGAATTCATCGCTGCGATAGGGCCACCTCCACTGAGCTTTTTGAAACGGAGTCCCGAACGGGCCGCTGACTTTTGGGACGAGCAAGGTGAGCCCTACAGGAAGGCATAGCTGATTTCGGGCACCAGAAAGTTAACTTTGCAGCAGGTAAATGGCTAGGACTGGCACCAATACCGGAGCATCGGACCTTGGAGAGATTGGAGAGCCGACTGGAGAATAGTTCCCGCTTCATCAGCTTTTCTTCGGAGGGTTCTCACTTGGGAGCCTGAGAAACGACCGACTGCTAGGGAGCTACTTCAAGATCCGTGGCTCCAGTCTGGCTAGCGGACGCACTTCATAGGTGTCCTTTTCTGGAGTGCCCGCCACGCCGCTTGCTGTCATACTTGCACTCAGGTATCGCGGGCCAGAATTCTGAATGGGTGAAGACAGGTCCTGCATTACTGAGCAGTTCAAGATGTAGAGTTCACTCAGCTTCATCCGACGGAATCAGGTTGTACTGGTTCGCCCGCCTCGAGAGCTGGTCACGTAGTCTCTGTGCGATCCTCATGTGAACTTCCCGTGCGGTTCCGCCATATACGCATGAGCCGCTTCTGTTGCAGCAAGCTTGGGCCCGCTACCGTGGTGGCGAATGCGACTGGCATGTTGCCTCAATGTAATGTATCCACGACTTGTTTGTTGTTACGAAAATCTGCACTCTTGGGATCTGCAACATTAGAAACAGCCTCAAGATGATTATCATGCAAGAGAGAGTCGTATTATAAGCCCTTACCTTCTCCTTTTGTCCTTGGCAACTGGCTCTTAGCTAGCATAGCATACTGAAACGCTGTCGCTTTAATCGTCAAGACTCAAAAGCCGAGCGATTTCCGGTGGCGCAACTGCAGCTAGGCGTCTGGGACATGGCACGATGGGCCTTTCTGCGGCGAGTGTCGAAAATATTCCACAGCGCAATAGAAACCGCAGACATGACGAACGCAGGTGCCAATAATATTCTGCAGTAAGGAAAAGCTTCTAAATTTTCTGGCGGGCATCATGGTGAAGGATCACAACTGGTTCCTTTATCATTGCGATTATGAATGGAGACAAGACGGCGCCCTGACAGGATGTGCGCATGGGTGAGCACGTCGCAGCCGAGGGGTGTGTACAAAATTATTCGTACTCCGCAGTACTTGGCGCGGGCGATGAGAGAAGGAATACCGGATACCGATGCGTGACAAGATGTTCGAAGATATCAGCACATAGACATACCAGCGCTTTTCCTTTCACGGGCATCATCACATGTTATGCCTCAGGCATCTTATACAAGTACGCAATATGCTCCGATACACTTTCATAATCAAGGATGTTTCAATCTCGATAAGGAGTAACAATAGCTAGCAGCCCTTTCGGAATGCGTCCAGGTCGTGCCTGGCGTCGTTGTTCCTCTAGTTTCGAGGCGCATGCCAGCAGCATCCTACGCCAGCAGTGCCTCTTGGGCCGCATGGAAGATTGATGGGAACATTATATCGGCCTTGACAAAAGGAGGGGATAATAGGGTCGCAGGTCGCACCGACAGCCACACAGGGATTCCTTGGGCCGGCTTGGCAAAGCCCAAAGGTTGGTAGACTAATGAACCATTAGTATTTGGCTTACATGTAGCGGGGGGATAGATACTTGCCCTAGCATCATGTATGCAATGGCGGACTTCATTATTGCTGGTAATTGTGTTTGTTGTTTGGAGTTGGATATCTGACTTGTTTGTGGCAAGAATACTGAACAAGATCATAGGCGGATGTGTGCTTCTTATATATTCAGCTTGTATGCAAAACCTTCCAGGTGATTTCTATTACCGACTTTCCGAGACACTTTTCCAAAACGTTCATCGTTTTCAGTCTCCGAGACAGTCTTCCAAGTCATTCATATCTTTTAGGTTCCAAGACAGTTTTACAGCTCATAAGGACATTGTCTCAGCGAAGTAGTTTACTTGCGGTGCGGGGTGACCACAACATACACTTAGAGAAGAAGGCGACGGTCCGTGGATCGGCAACGTCGCATCAATGGTATCTTTCCGTACATAGTAATTGATCAACGAATCGAAGTCAATTGGATGGCTAGGTATGTCAAGTCAGTTGTCAATGGTTCTGCCAAGGTCTATCATGACTCACTCTCGGAGGATTCTTATCAAGCTCAGACATCAATAATACAGAACACAGGCCGTGTTTAGACCAAGTCTGAATAGGACTCGCACAATCAATTGTATATATGTGTCACAGCTGGTCTTAGCCAAGAGGTTTAGCATTTATCTGCCATCTCTTGCCCGTGCGTCGGACACCGTACTCGACTGAAATCCTGCGAGATGTCAATTATCGCTCCCTGTGCTCTGTTTTATATATTGAGGTTCCGCTACTTAATAAATGCCTACTAGTAGTAAAATACCTGATAAAGTGGACCTACGTACTCTCCATCCTATCCCTGGTCGACCGTTTTTCACGATAGGCGGGCATGTACGCGGCGGTATACTTTGTGTCACAGCCTGAGACCTCGCCTGCGCTGGTCTGTTCCTAGCCAAGACGCGGCTGTCTCACCGGCACATACTAGAATGACTTACTCTTTTGAAGAGTGTAGGGGAGGCTTCTTAATGCTCCCAAAGTTGGCGCCTTTAGAAAAAGGTATTCGGAACATCATGGGCGGGAAATATAGTCAATGTTGAAATGACTCGGCGACACAACTTGTGAGTCAAGTTTTGCCCTGCCAGAGGCTGTATTGACAGTAGCTAACCGCCAGGGGCCTCGGGTCTTTACTTTGAACAAGTTTGGTGGGTTGCGTAAGTAGTTGTTGGAGAGTGGGCTATAGGTACCCGCGGCACGATGTATTACCAGTACGGCTATTATTTAGATGCGGGCAGACACATGTTTCGGTTCAATCCGGCAGTTGTTGCGGGCCAGCTTCAGCTGCCCCGCCTAGCAGGATAGTACTTGACTCAGGCCAACACCTGGCCAGCAAAAGAATGCGGCTTGATCTATCCGTACTTCGTATACATATTTTGCTCTCCACAAAATCGTGGGGACGATTGAAATCTGGGAATCGACCATGCGCTCGTTTGTGCGGGGCGGCCCGCCACAGCTCAAGAGAGTCTGGTAATTGAGGCAGGGATGCAGCTATATTGTAATTATTATGTAGTTTGCCAAGAAAGCACGACGATGAAATCCGGAAAAAGGCGTACGTAGATTCTGAGAGTTTCCATGAATTCTCTTTAGTTTAACGCTCTGGCTCTAGCTGAGCTATCGCTCAAAATGGTTACGTAGAGAATTTAGTACTCGAATTAAACTATTGCGGGCGGCCGCATTAAAGTCGCCTAGCCGCCGTTGGAAGCCGGTTGCGTAGTACCCGCTGAGTCAGCGGCAGATCTTGTTATGTCGACAAACCTGTTCTCCATGGCAGGCGTCATGATGCCGACGATACCGTCAGGCTGGCCAAACTCAAAAAAGCCCTAGCTCGTTCCGACGGCGGTATTCTCGGCCATCGCGGGTAGAACGGAGTTGAGAATAATTTCATAGACTATATATTAATCCCAAAGGTTACCTGGCTTTGCATATCATTCAAGTTCTGTTATCCACTGAATTACCTCCTGCTCACCTCGCCAAGATGCTCCCCTCTACGATGACCTGGATGATGATCGCTGCCGGTGTGGTCCATGGCATGGCGTTTAATCCTCGTCAGCTATCCCCAGCTGCCACAACGACCGGCGGTACTGCTACACCAACACTTCGAAACGGGAGTACAGTATCGAAGAACTTCGAATCGCTCAACAATGACACCTCTTCTTACTATCTTGGCTACCGCGAGGAGGACTTTGCTCAGCCTTACGCTAAGTGAGCAATTGATCATTCTCGACCAAATTCAGATGCTCATGACCAACCAGATATTGGAACCCTGTGGTTGCTCCTCTCACAGAAGAGCTAATCAGTGGCCTGACGAGTAGTCCTATGGCAGAGGCACTATGTACGTTGTCGGCCTGGTAATTTCTTCTGCTCCAATACCCGGGATGCTTACACATGAAGTAGCCTTTTCCGCGCACCAAGCCTCCGACTACTTGACTCGACCCGGATACTTGAGCTTGGAGAATGGTTATACCATTGACAAGAATGGAACAGTGATGATCGCTGCACTCTCCGAGGTACCCGAGGGTAAGTAACCAAAAACTCACTTGTGAACTTACGCAAATGCTTATTACCCGTGAATATAGTTACTGGAGACGCGTATGACTGGTGGTTCGGCTGGCACTCAGTCCAGACTGCACGCTACAAACTTTGGAACCCTGTGGCTCATCAATATTCCTATCGAGTACCAGTAACCGAGAACTGGGCCAATGCTACTCTCAAAGAGCGCTATATTGGCATGACCTCGTTTATTGACGAGTACGTGGGAAATGATGCAGCGCAGCTCAGTATTCAGTTTCTCAACCCCGAATCGCTTGGATTCAATGTCACCGCGTGGCCTAGTCAGGGTATTGAGACTATCGTCGCTGGAAGGATAAAAATTGGAGGTAATCTGGCTCCTCGCGTTAAAAATTGTCGGTCAGAACTAACGTTGGGCTTTCACACTTGTAGGCTTCACCACCACCGACTTTGATAACGTCTCATACTTGATGCACCAAATTCGTCGCAGACCTGACGGCAAGCGGGAGCTCCGATCACGCTTCTGGATCGCAAAGGAGAATCATGGAACTCAGCAGCTCGGCCATGACCTTGCTGTGCACTGCCAAATCGAAATGACCCGTAAGCTCCCCAAGATTGACTATCGCAATTGACTCTACAATGACTGACGTTGCGTTGCTGCAGACCTTGGCAGCTTTTTACCTGCGCTCTACCAAGAGTTCAAAGATACTCTGTAGGCACATCTGCTGGTCGACATCACTCCCGGCATCGCAGGCAGCGCTGAAATCTGTGACGGGGCTTCCATTGCTCTTCTGCCGGCAGCCGACAAAGACTCGGCCGCCTGCCTAGAGGCCACAGATGACGGACGACTCAGCTTAAGAATAAGACATGATTCGGTTTCGGGATTTGAGAATTTTTATTGAAGAATTTATAGAGTAGAGTTTACTTCAGTTCCTACAGTTATGATGAGTTTTCAAGGTCACCTATAAAAACACAATATCTCACAGCATCAAGCTTGTGTAGGTTTTGTCTTAATCAACGTTCATGACCTCTGAATAGGGCCCCTGGCCGATCTCTTGAACCGCAAGCCTTTTACCAGGATGCATTTCGAGCAGTCCGAGGATCAAAGGCAAGTATAGACTCTTGACATCTTCTGGAAGCTCGTTGATTGACTCGTTCTGCCCCGCTCGTAGCTCATCCAGGCTTAGACGGTACTCATCCAGATTTTGGACGGCGAAGCAGTGTCTTCGACTACCTACGGGGGATGGGATGTCCCTCTGATATATTTTGCCATCTGGCATATTTTTTAAGGCAAGTTGCAAGGAAATCGCACTTTTACCCTTTAAATATTCAATCTACTAAAAGCTGTCAAAGGGCTTCTTAGAAAACAACCCCTCCCGCGTAGGTACTAGTTTCTAATACTATCACACATTATCCAACCCGCCTTCGCTCTCGCCTTCTGGTAGGGAAAAGGCCATGTAAAATTGAGCTTCATGCAGGACGACGAAGAAAGTGCCATTGCATCCAGTTCTCCAGTGCTTTCGTTTGGTCTTAAAAACCGTCGAGTCGGCAGTTGTGAACTCAATCGAGCGACTGTCTGACGGATTGTACAATGGCATAACGAGCCCAACAGGCAACCCGGTAGCCCAGGATTTGCAACCCATGTATCTGCCATCTGTGGGTTGAAGTCTGAAGGCCTCCGATTGGCTAACAAACTCCCAGCTTTTCCACCGGGTCTTGAACTCCTTTTCATCTGAACTCGTCCGAAAGCGTACAGGTCGCTGCATGTCCTTGCCGAACTTCACATATGGCTGGACAGATTGTTGAGGGGACTCGAGGGACAGAAGGGTCGTATTCACTTCGAGGATCGTGGAGAAATGACCTTCTAGTTCACGCACAAGATCACAGCATGGCCGAATATCGGGTGACCTTGCTTGCGTCATTCTTCGTTAGCTTGCATTATTACAATGCTAGCCATGTATTCCTCAAGACGGCGCCTAAAGAGATCGGTTGGTCGGGCTTTTTGTGCCCTACAAGTCAGGGTGAAGGGTCAAAGACGGGCGGAAGGTCGGCTAGCTGAGGATGCCATGATTAGGAGTTGGACAATAACGAGGGTTGCCTGACGATGAGGGGCATCGCTGAGTCAGAGGGCATCGTGCCTGCCAATGCGCTGTCAATATATGTCTACAGCGCTACCTACCTAGGTATGCACCCGCATCCAGTGTGTGGCACGTGAAAGTGTTTTGGGGTTGGGCCGCAATCAGGCTGCCGCCGTTGGGTCTGACTTGACCTTTGACCCCCTTGAACTTCACGTTTACTTCATCTCCGCAGACAAATAGCTCGTGTCTGGCGTGGCCACATCACTACTGCAGGCAGACATACATCGCCCGAAGTTACTAGATCATGGCAATAACCAGAGAAAGTCTGGTGAGTGGTGTAGTTCAGATACCGCGAAATGAGCTGACCGGCGAAGCAACAAGGTTGGGTTCGACTACAGGGTCAAGTCGAGCAGCTACGTGACGAGGTGTTCATCGCTTACCTTCCAGTCGAAGAGAGCAGCAAGCCAAGAATACTCTGGTATGATTGTGTGGAAATTACATTCTACTCGGAGGACAAGCAAGTATGGTGCGATGAAGGGAAAGGCCGCATAGAACTTCCACCAGGTGTCTCAGCGGTTGTATTCAGAGGAAAGAGATATATCGAGGATTAGATATAGCATGTTATGGATATTATGAAGCACTTCAACGTTGATCTTGATGCAATACGACAGTGACACGCAATTTGTGTAGTGCAGAAGCCCATTGCGTTTTCCCAGGCACGTAGATTGCCACTCTCTATCGCTTGATGTATATTGGAGCCGAAACAGTCAGAGATGGCGTCAACTGAAACCCCTCCACCGGTCCTAGGAAGTAAACGGGAAAACCAAATGGCCTCTTTTGTGTCTATTTCGAGCAGGATAAGTGCATCGCCAGAAACGCGAGAAAATCTCGTGCTGACAGTAGACAATATAGACCTCGCCCCGGAAGCGGCAAGAGACTCAGTCACTTCGGGACTGAAGACTGCCATGACCACATCGCAAGCTTTCGCAAGCATATGGTGAGTATATTACAGGCTCTACGTATATTCAGCGTTATTACGTGACCGTAATAGAGCAAAACAGGACAAATATCGGTGGAGAACCTACCTTCAGATTCATTTGTAGGCTGTCTTGAAATCATCGAGAAGCTTATGCGACTAGAATGAGTAGCTCCTTTGTCCTTGAAGAGGTTTTTGGGGCGATTCAAGATATCCCACCGTTCTACGTCCTGAGACCCTTTGTGGCTGCATAAAACAGCGGACTTGGGAAATCTCAAAGTACTGCTGGACAGCAACTATTCTCCGCGGCTCGAAAGCGATAGCACAGAAACATATTTTGGGAAGAGATAGCCCCGATATCTGGGAGCGGAAATGGTAATTGTCGCCATCGTTCACGGCCGGCGCAAAAGCTTTTGTGTTATCAAGAATGCTGGACTTTAGAGGTGTAGTGCCAGATTTGTCAAGGCGATTTTTTGCCTGGACAAAGCCCTCTATCTTTTACAGTTGCATCTCAAGACTTTTGATAAGAATCTTAAACGCCGGCTGGAGCTCGGGTGTTTTGAAAAAAAAAAAAATTAATGTTGGAGGCCGTATCCAAGGTTGTTGGGGGAGGACGCTACCGCAACTTGATCGGTCAGGGGCGATGGAACACAGATTGACGATTGGGGCTCGGAAGAGGACAGGGCTCTGATATCACTGCATTCTACCTGATTAGGCAATAAGGCTCGAACAGCTGGGTCCTGAAAATTCCTGGTATAACGTCGAGCTCGTGGAATGGCCGAGCGTGAAAAAGTCGGTGGTGGGACAAACTGGGGTTTGAAGAGCCCCGTAACATGTAGGATCAATTTTAGCGACTTAAGGTCGCGTCTTGCCGTATTAAGAAGATAGAGGAGAAGATTAGCTAAATCTCCACATAAATTTATAAGAGGAAAATCTATCACATCTAATAATAGACTTACCAATATAACTATAAATAAAAATTAATATATTAAGGCTTTTAATTTTACTTATTTTAGCTAGATTTTTTTATGCCTAATATCCTAAAGATAGGTGTAGTTATTATGATTATAGAGAAAAACTTAACCTAATAAGGAAGGGTATGACCTTAGATAGCTAAAATCTATTCTATATATTACGGGGCTCGGTTTTAAATAGGGGGTACCTGAAGAGCGGGGCGAGGGTAGGTTAGTAAGCGTTATCTACACGTTGTCAGAAGCAGACGGGATTTAGATTGGGACTCTGGCCTGATGACAGGCAGAGATTTACTGTTATACTTCTCTCGGAATAATTATTTATATCTTGAAAAGTAGAGTACTAGTATACGCTACGTAGAGATATACTATTATTTTTACGCTTAGCTAGCTCTATATATGAAATCCAGTTATTATATTATATAGTACCTAGTTATATTATAATTATAAAGAGAAAAATAGTATATAAATAGGTAACTAATATACTTAGTTAAATTTTATATTTAAGGATATTATTTACTTAAAGTTTATATACTTTATTATAATTAATTCAAAAATATATAATATAAATATATTATAATTAAAGTTATAAATTAAAATATAAATATAGTAAGTTAAGTAAATATAAAAAGTATATAAATAATAAAAAGTTTCTAACTTTTTTATTCTTATTTAATATATTTAAAATACTATAATTTAATTAATCTTTAGTATTT